ACATTCTCCAGGCCTTTCCACAACGCAGTCTGGACTCGCTCCCTCGGTTCTAGGAATTGAGATCACTTGACAAGACTCTCCTGCGTGGTATTTCCCTTTATTCTCCCCCAGCTGATGCTGGTGGTTTGATCGCGAGCGACTCCCTTCTTATCCATCCATGGTCCCGCCCGCCGCACCTTACTCCCCTCGCAATATCACCCCCGAAACTCAAAACACAGCAAGACTTGGATAGAACTCTGAGTTGCTAACTCCCCGCTCATGTCGACGGCATCTACTCATTCCCGAGGCGTTAACCGACGGATTAACAGCATTCAGAATGAATCCCGCCATTCGCGCAGTCTCTCAGGGTCCCGTAGGCGCCCCGTCAACTCCTCGACTGCCTACAACTACGCTCTCCGGGTAGCCTACCTCGCCCATCTCCTGCAGCCTCGCTCGCGTCGTGTACAGAATGTACCGGTCCCTCAGAAACCCAAGAGGGCCTCCACCTCGTTCCATGATCTGATGAGCGATTTCTCTCTGGTGCGGGACTCAAAAAGCACTCGCATCCCCCATGGATTCATCGCGGAGCTGGAGAAGAGGCTGACAGGTGTCCTGATCGGAAAAGAGAAGCGGAAGGAATATCAAGATACGCTGGTCGTGAGGACATTCGCTGCATTTCTCAATACTTTGAAGGACCAATCATTCAAAAAGCGCATGGAGAAGGACCGGCGGGCGGAAGACCTCGTCCTCATCTTCTACTCCAATGCCACCAAGGAACTGAGCAAAGGAAAGGATCCCGAAGATGACCACTGGAAGCTTATGGTAGACAGACACGTGGCGCTTTTCGTTCGCTTGTTTGCGCTCATCCTGAAGGATCACGACTGGGCTAAGGAGCGACCTGAACTGGCAAATCGGTTGTCGGTCTTGGAAAACAAACTACTCTCCCAGGATCAAGATCTTGTGCAGACCAACGGCTCTACTACTGTGGAAGTTGTTGCTCCCATAAGTCACGATGTCAAGGACATGCCACTTGTGCAGCATGTATCAAGGATTTTTGACGTGAACTTGAGCCAGGTTCAGGCAGACATAGATAAGAATAAAGGGACCTGGACCGGGAAGGCTGCCCTTCAAGACCTGAAAGCCTACCAGGCTCACCTAAACCTCAAGACTCGGAAAACATTGTCTCAGGAAGACTTCGAGAATGAGGATGCGTATGAAATCTGGAAGAAGAATGAAGGTCCTGATCTGTCTCAGATGATGCTTGCTATTGTGCAATCGAACCCGGAACTCGCCAAAAGCACCCCGGGGGGTGCGCTTCCACAATTTAACCCAAATGGTAGTGACCAGGATCCGGCGGGGGAACTGTCAAGGACGAACTCCGATAGGCCATCGTCGTATGTCATAGATCAGTCGCTGGATCTCAGCTCTCTATCTTTAGGTGATGACGGCGGTGAGCCTTCGGATGAGTCCGATACGTATACATACATACCTCAGGATCCTCGATCTATGTACAAGTTTATATTAGCTCAGACCCTGAGCCATGACCTGAAAGACCGCGATATTGAGGCAACACAGGCAACATCCGAGGTCCCTTCAATGAAGCTATTTTCCAAACAGTCGTCGGAATTCCTTAACGAGGTCTGTCTTCGGTGGCGGATTCCGAATTTCTCCAGGATAGTTTTGTTTCTGGATGTTGTCCGGTCCAAATTTGTGGATAACGAAATTGATCTCAATACACTCGATTCGGCTTTCACTTTCGTGAAAGAATCCCCTTCTGCAGAGGGCAGGAGGCGCAGTAGCTTTATCGCTTCTGTTCTTTATGAGAGGCACAGGTGGACAATTCATGACCTTCTTCTGATGCAGCAGATACTTTCCTCTCTTCACGAAGCTCTTCTGCGTGAATTGTATGATGTGATGATGGATTGCTATGAAGGAAAACCTCGGCCCATCGGTCCGGTGATGTACGTACTGGAGAACCATATTGAAATGGATCCCAACTACACCGAAGATTTGGAGGACATCGAGCGTTTCCGCTCATACGTGCAGGATGGGCTTGCACAGAAAGCAACCGAGAAGTATCAAGAGCTTCTGGGGCAGCTGATCCCAGTCCAGCCGGAATCCTGGGAGCTCGACCATGTTATCCAGCTCTGCGATGCCATCACTAAACTTGCGCAGAAGATCAAAAAACGTTACCGGAAGAATCCAGAGATTATGGGGTAAGCACACCTCCAAACCAGGCACATTGAATTCTGCTTGCTCACTGAAAACTAGGGTCAACCCGTATCTGATATTGCTTTCGAACGTCCTCCCAATATTCTCCGAGGATGCCCACGAGATGGTGGTCAGAATTATTGAGATGGAGAAAGTGAGAGGTGAGGAAACCAACATTGAAGATGGATTCGATTTGTATAAGCAACTAGCGGACGTGCGTCGTCTTTTCACGGAGGCACTTCCTGAGTAAGTTCACTCTACCAATGATCATTCTGCGGCGCATCGATGCTAACTGCGCGTGCAGTGTCCCCTTTCCGTTCCACGTTGAAGGCCTGATGGAGGAGTTCGTCTGGCGGTGGATTCGCTTGACCGATAAGAAGGTTGCAGACTGGGTTGAACAGGCAGTCAGACAAGACGCTTTTGCCGTTCGAGACGACGGAACGATGGACGTGGTTCCAGAGGAGAATCGACACAGTGTGTCTGTGATTGACATCTTCCGCTCCTTTAACCAGGTCGTAGAGCAGATGATCTCCCTTGAGTGGGACGATGATTTTCAATACGCCAAGTTTATGACGGCTCTGTCCAGGTCTATTGGGAGCGGAGTGGCAAGATATTGTGAATCCTTGGAACAGATGTTCGCTAAAGAGATGGATCGGCTTTCTCCCGATCAGGAGGCGGCTATGAATCAAACCGCTCAAGAGAGGATAATGCAGTTGGCCAAGGAAGCATGGACGAGCAAAGAAAAGATCGAACCTTTTCAGTTCTTTCCCGAGGTACGTTTGTTCATTGATGCATGACGTCTACCTGGCTAATGAGGAAATTCAGTCTCTGGTCAAGCTGAATAACGTCGAATATGCCCTGTCGCAGCTCGACAAGCTGGAAAACGAGGTGAATGTGGATGGCTGTGCAGAGGTTATCGCAAGACATGCTCAGCCTCAACTTCAGAAGATTCGCAAGTCTACGACATATGTTTTCACCGTCAAGGTGGTCGAAGCAGAAGACTTGAAGGCGTGCGACATGAACGGAGGAAGTGATCCCTACGTCGTGCTGGCGGACGAGTATCAGAAACGTATAGCCAAGACCCGCATTATTTATAACAATCTGAATCCACGATGGGACGATGCTGTTGACATCACCACGCAAGGCCCGGTCAACATTATCGCCACCATTTGGGATTGGGATGCAGTCGGAGACCATGACTATGTGGGTCGGACTTCTATCAAGCTCGATCCAGTCCACTTCAGCGACTTCCTACCAAGGGAATATTGGCTTGACTTGGATACGCAGGGCCGACTGCTACTTCGCGTGAGCATGGAGGGAGAACGCGACGATATCCAGTTCTATTTTGGCAAAGCGTTCCGGACGTTGAAGCGGACGGAGAGGGACATGACTCGCAAGATTACAGAAAAGGTAAGATAGCAAACTCGCCGCAGTACCTCTAAAGCTGTTGCTAACATCGACTTTGCAGCTTTCCGCATACATCAGTCACTGTCTATCGCGCCGGACGCTGAAATCATTGCTGTCGCGCGGACTCAGTATTTCAAGCGTATCTAACTTCCTCAACCGCAATCGAGCGCAATCCACCACCGCCACCCCGTCGAACGCAGACGTGGAAAATGCGCTGACTCCCCTCTTCGACTACTTTAATGATAACTTTGCTATTATGAACAAGACTCTCACGTCGGAAGCTATGAAGATGGTCATGGCACGTTTATGGAAGGAGGTGCTGGCTACGATCGAAAGCTTGCTTGTGCCTCCATTGTCCGACAAGCCCTCTCACCAGAAGCCCCTCACGATGCAAGAAGTGGATGTTGTCTCACGCTGGCTCGTGCTTCTGCTGAACTTCTTCCACGCCATTGACGAAGAAACGGGTGAAGCCAACGGCGTTTCCATCGATATCTTGAAATCACCCAAATACCACGAGATCCAGACCTTGAACTTCTTCTATTTTGAGCCTACTGAACAACTGATCCGCACTTCTGAGCGGATGGCATCTGCGACGATCTCTCGTCAGCAGGCCAACAAGAACCGGACCTCGGCGCCACCACATCTGGGTGCCGCAGGGTCTAGCAGCATGTTAGGTGTCCCCAGCGCACGTCGTGCCAAGAGTATCATGCTCTCGCGCAACCTCGGCACGATGAAGAAGATGAAGGAGGAGAAATGGCGCGAGGCGCAAGCCGAGCCGAATGACGATATGATCCTGCGAATCTTGCGGATGCGTCCCGAAGCTGCGGGCTATCTGCGTGATCGCAGTCGGCAGAAGGAGCGACTTGCGGCAGCCGCAGCTGCAGATGCCATTGTGAAGCAGAGTCTGATGGCAGGGGCTGGGGGAAGGATGACGGGGACGCTGGGGCGGCGATGAAGGTAGTATGACCGACATTCGTGGCGTTCTTCTATGTACTTGTTGACTTTTTTTCTCCCCTTTGCGATTCAGCATAACGCGGCATTGATTGGCCTTGTTTTCTCTTGCTTCTCTTTTTTTTTACTCTTTTGATATGGACGTGATGATTCCCAAATCTAGTTTGTTTGCACTTTAGGGAGCGTTGAGCCTACGGGTTGATCGTTGATTGGGAAGTTGCGTGGTCTTACAATAGCATAATCGTTTAATTCAGCAGCCATGACCGACTCATGACATCGTAGGCCAGGGTTGGAATAGATAGAGATCTTATCGACAATTTATCCATGGTAAGCAGGTAGATGAACCCGGGTCCGGCACGACATCCGAAGTCAGTAGCAACTTATACGTTATTAGTTTATTTTAATTCGATTCCATTCATATACACACAGCTATATAATAGAAAGAACCCACTCTAAGCAAGAGCAATGCACTCAATCTCAACAGGCACACCCTTAGGCAGCTGCTTGACAGCAAAGCAAGAGCGAGCCGGCTTGTGAGCAAAGAACTTGGCGTATTCCTGGTTCATCTCATTGAAGTCGGCCATATCAGCGAGGAGGACCTATACCGATACATCCCAAAACATTATTAGCCCAGCCCAATTACTCATTCATATATATCCATCCCCTCTTCGTTCCTTTCTTGGAGACGGGGTTGAGGGGAAAGGAAGAAAGGGTATATAATACGCACCGTAACCTTGAAGATCTTCTCCACGCTAGAGCCAGCCGCCTCGACAACGGCCTTGATGTTCTCGCAGCAGAGACGGGTCTTCTCGGTGACGGAACCCTCAATGAGGACGCCGTCCTTGGTGAGGGGGATTTGACCGGAGAGGAAGATCTGGCCGTTGACCTTGATGGCTTGGGACTTTTGATGGGGTTAGTGTTTGGTTATTGTTGACGTTGTGGTGGTATTGGTGGGGGGAGGAGGGGAAGGTATGGCGGCGGGGTTTGGATTTCTCTTACGTAGGGGCCGACGGCTATAGTTGGGTTCAATTGCTGTTAGCTTGAATTCTCTTGAGGATGGTCATGGTGGGGGTTATTTCTTAGAAGTCATCCTTTCTCTCTGGGAGCAAGAATACCAGGGGAAGTGAATGCCACTGCGTCTCAAGCAATGATATTGTAGTGGGGGAGAAGGGGAAGAAGCACTTACGCTGGGCGGCGCCAGCAGTGTGGACGATGTCAAGACCGGTGGACATGGTGACGAATTGGTATGGGATGCGAGATGGGAGACGAGAAATGGGGAGAGAAGAGTGAAGAGGGGAGGAGATGAGACGAGAGGAAGTACTGAGACGGGAGAAAAGAACTCGAGAGGTAGCGGAGAACATGAGGGGAAGTGGATGGGAAATGGAGAGATGCTAATTGAAGGTTCCCAGATGTTTCCGCGGAAAAGTCACCAATCCAGGCCCGCCCCGCCCGACATCGGTGGAGCTATGGCCGGTGAACTCTCGGATTCATCTACGTATATCTATTTATCTATCTACGTATTCAGGTGGAGCTGTACAATAAAATATTATTATCAGGCTAGTAATGACATAAGAGTCTGGATAGAATGGAAGCGCGGTAATCATAGTCCAAAGATGGAGGGTATGGTTGGTCATGAGCAGGCGGAAGTCATAGCATCGTGATACAGTATACAAGCAACAGGTGGGGATATCAATGCAAATGTGTATGCCAGAAACAATCAAATCATGTCATCCAGTCAGCCAACTTCTAGGCCAGCCCCTTCGCCCCCAGGTTGCTCAACTGCTGCATGAATGCAGTTGTCTGCTCTGCGGAAAACCCAAAGAAGACAGGCCCGTTGAACACAATGTTGGCTGCTGGTTTATTCGACGGGCTGGAGGGATCACCGGGTAGTTCGCCATTCTTCTTCTCAGCAGGTTCGTCTGCCTTATCCACTTTAACAGGCGTGGGAATGGTTTCCATCTTGGCTGGCGGTTTGTCACCGGAGGGCGCACCATGTCCGAAGGGACACCGGCCCTTCTTGGGTGCGTTAGCGGGAGGAGCCGGAGCCGTGTTACCAGGCGGCGGCATCGAGGACAGGTCTGGAGGCGCGGCATTGGAAAGCTTGCTGGTTACCGCATCGATTGAGGTTGCAACCGGTGCAGGCGGAGGGGATTGAGGGGGTGATGCGGTTGGAGGTAGAGGCGACACCGGAACAGGGATCCCCCAGGGCCGGCTTGGGGATTCGCCGACGCGGACTTCACGCAAGGGCCGGTCGAAATGGCCCTTTCTCTCTTCATCCTCTTGTTCGGCCGCTGCCTCTTCCTCCTGCTCTTCTTTGATGGGAGGATGCATGTCCGACTTCATGTCAACTTCCTGTGCCCATTTCTCCACCCTTTCCGCAGACGAGCTAGAGGGTGCCGTGCCATTTTGACTCGGCTCTGGTAGGAATGCTTTATGTTTGGCAGACAAGCCTTGGATCATATTGATAAGGCTACCGTACTTTGCATCCAGCTGCCGCATGGTCTGCCCGTCCCGCTGGTACCGTTGGACACAGATAGCATGGCTTCTAGGGATCTCATGCTTGTGCCTCTCAACATAGTCGGCAATCTCCTCCGGACTATGTTGGTCTAGATACCTTATGGGACAGCGAGAAACCGGGCAGCGAGTGGCCGAGGACCGCGTCGAAGGAGCGCGACTCGAGCGTCTATCACTCTGCTCGGCCTTGATGGGGTCTAGATCGGCATGTCCGCACGCATCCCCGTTCTGGTCCTTTAATGGACTGTGCGTCCCATTGGACACCCCATTTTCAGAGGTCTTATTGTTATGCTTCGCAAAAGGACAACGCAAACTTCCCTGCGTGCCCTTGGTAGTGAAGTCTTTTTCTAGGGGAGCAGGCACTCCGGCTCTCGTCGCCACAAGACAGGAGTCGAACTCCGAGAGCTGCCTGGACTCATGTGGTGGTATGATAGATTGGTAACATGTCAGCCCTTCCGTTATAGCGGTCAGGGCAAGATCTCCTACGTTTCCAGACTCGGCCAGCGCCTTTACTACGTCCGGAGGTTTAATGTTTGGTTTGGGATTGTGATCGTATTCGGCATAACGACCGAGCATCTTATCCGCGACGACTTTCGTATGACCGTCGACTCCACCTGGGAGCTTTCCTGCGAGTTTCAGATACTGATAACACATTAGCATATGCATTCAAATATAGATATGCGTAAAACAGTGCAAGTGTGTAAAGTCTCATCAGATAATACATGACTTAATCGGTCACCGCCGCAGATGCGACTCCTGATCTAGAGCTAATCGATTTTTCTCGTCCTTTGAGACAGCAAGGTAGGTGGGGAGGGGATGAAAATTAGACGGATGGGATATTTACCTCGTCGGAGGCATATTTCAGCCTTTGCTGCAGGCTCTTCTCCTTGCAGCTGAGTTGTTGGGTGGTGAGCAACAGAGCTTCGAAAGCTCTGGCCAGGGTTTCCAGCCGCTGGTCTTGCTGCATTTCTGCAGCGATGGGTGCAGGAGACATCATGAGTCAAGGTTAGGTGTTACAGTGTGATAGATATCTGTACATCAGATGGTCTGGCAGGGCACTTCTGCACTGAGCAGAAGTGCGCAATGAGAACATCAAAGGGCGAGTGAGCCAGAGGAGCAAAATAGCCTCAAGCCGAAATAAATAGGCGGAAAGCTAAGCGAGTTGGCCCGTGCTTTGCCACGTGATGTGTGCTGTTTTGGGAACAACCCAGATACCTCCGTATATGTACTGCGTGGTGACGGTTGATGCTGCAATGGATTTGGATGACTTGTCTGTGAGGATGTCGAGGGGCGAGTGTGTAGTTGATAGCCGTGAGTAATTCAGAATAACATAAGGTTGGGCAGATCAAGAACGGAAGAGATAGTGTGCTGGTGGTGTGACATCAGGCATGCATTTGGCGGGTCTCGCTCGCGGGCTGGCCCGATTGCAGGCATTGTCGGATGCAACTCGCTGTCTGTTCCAGTATCAATGGCACTAGTAGTCTTGGGCGATTATGAAGTTACTGTCGATTGGCTGGGAATCCTACCAAGAGTTGGCCGCTATCCGGTGCTTCAGTTGTGACATGCTCGTAAGTCGTGTGGCAATTGTAGTCTTGTTGGCTTTCATCTACTTTGGCTTGCAATCCTACTCAGGTATATCGCGAACCTGCGCTGGGTCTGCTGTTTGCACCAGGAGACCGGGTGGTAAATCATTTCCGGGCCATCATACTTGAGGCAGGGTGCGGCAGGACGTGTTGAATAATTGGCCTATTTCCACTAGAAGTACTACAGTTACTGAGTTACTACTATATATATCGTCATCCAAGGGGACATTCATATCCCATGGTCGTGCCCTAGGAGTACTATGTGCATCGTTTTTGATTTACTGGAATTCATAAGAGCTAGGAGACACGTCTCGATGAATGTGTAGTAGCGAAAGAGGGCAGCTTAGGCATTGCGATATCGAGGTTGAATTCGTTGGAAGGGAGTGAGTGACATTGATGAGAGGATGCTTCATATTGGTTTCCAAAGAATATAGAACCATACTGTGCGGCGGCATTCAACGAGCATAGCCCGGCTAGCTCAATCGGTAGAGCGTGAGACTCTTAATCTCAAGGCTGCGGGTTCGAGCCCCGCGTTGGGCTTTCCTTTTTGGTATTATTTTTGATACCCCCACCTTTTTTCTCCCTCTCCCTATCTTGATGCTCCTGTATCAGCCATCAACCAACACTGGCAGGTTCTAGGTTACCCACCACTGCCTCGATAGGTTCAAGATTATTCATATCCGTTGGCCATATATCTCTCACTACCCTTACGCCCCCCACCTACAGTACTGCTTTGGACCTCGGCCTGAAGCGCCCAGTGCACACATCGGTGATGCGGTGGGATGTCCTCATCGGGAATTCCGCACACCCTCGTCCCTACAGCTCTTCATGTTATTAAATATGCAGCATGTAATCCACTGCACTCTGGTGCAACGCACACGAGGATGTGCGAAACGCGACGATCTCGCTGTAGGGTGCAATTCTGGACCGCCTGTTGCGGCCCGGACTGGTCAGGAAACCCCGACCACAAGACGACCAGCCATCCGTGCGTACATGGCGTGTCTGCGCCATGCATTAGTAGCATGCATAATGCTGCCGCACCTTTGGCTGCAGAGTACCTACCCGCCGTCCACCTACGTAAATGACTGCCTCTCACGTAGCTCCCGGGAAGGAGGGCGTAAAATAGGTGCACCATCCGGGGTTCCGGTACATATTCCTGGATGGTGACAGTACAACTACTGTATTATTGTCATACCACAGAAGTCTTCCAGAAGTTCTAGAAGATACACGCTGAGGAACGATGATTTTGCGCTGCGGGATGGAAAAGAGACCATGGGGCATGATGCTCTCCAAGACCAATATCGACGCAGCAATTGCACAGCACACATGCACCAGAGTTTCCGGACTTCCTCGGATATGTGATTGGGATAAGCCTGGTGGAGTCCAATTGATGGTACCTGGATTGGCAAGGAACGTGCGCGTTGGGTCGTATCGGTCGTTGAGACGGGTCGAGGTGCCGTGTGAGCGCATAATTAGCTTCAAATTGACCTCATAATTTGTTTATCGGTTGAGACCAATCGCCGAGCTATCTTAGTTGCCTATGGTAGTAGATACACTAGCTTGCATATAGTCCGAAATTGAAGTAGGTATGGCGAAGCCTCTGCCCACGCCTTCCAAGTTAACGCGGCGAAATATCAGGGACAGGTCCGGCCGCCAGTTGCATCTCCCCCGCGAGACGGGCCAGTGACAGCAACCTTGTCGCCTACCAAGAGACACCGATTTATACGGCAGCCACGGAATTTAGTCGCAATGAGATCAGAGGCAGCTCATTAGCATGGAACTAATTCGGATCTGTTGGGCGAAGCATTAAAGCGTGTGCTAGGATGCCGTTATAACCGCTGCACTTCGAAAAATGGAACCTCGACAGATATTGGTCTAGGTAACTCCCGAACCCTGGGCCATAGGGCGCTGTGAGCTAATGGGGCTAGTATACCACCGGGGTGATGCGCCGGAAACGCCGCAACATCCAGCCAGCCTGCAAGCAACGGGCTCCTCGAACTCGAGCTTCTTTAGCAGCCCTCGCCTACCAAGCAGGAAACCCGCACACCTAGCTAGGACATGTGGGAGGGACCTCAGCGTGCGTAGGCAGACGCGGCTGGCATGGAGAACCTATTCCAACAATAAAGCGCGATTCCGTAGCAGGCTGATTGTCAGCCACCAGGGCTTCGTCACTAAGACAAGGCCGGGGTTATTTAATAAGCCAAAACAACTCAAGGAAATTGGCCACAGACAGCACCCAATGATCAAGCCATGTACCCCGAAGAGAACGCTCGTGCAGGCAGCATGCCACAAACGCGAGTGTATGGGAAAGATAAGTGAAATATAGAACAATGAAGGGAAACGAAGAAGGGAATTGCGCCGATCAGATTTGTGGCATACTTGTCACCTAAGGTGATGCAGAGTTGATAGGTAGCGGGCCCGACTGAAACATGCTCAAAGGGAGGCCGATGAGAGGACTAGACTAGATAAGTATGAAGGTAGCCTATCCCAAAACAACCACCGATAATTGCAAGACCATTGGCGAGATGGTGATGCTGCAGGTCCAAGTTGTCACCGGCGGCGGTCCTAATTAACCGGCGATCCGGTAATTTACGAGCCTTGAGGGGGGAAGGGGATGGCGGGCCAGCCCATCCCAAGTTCGATAGTTGGAGACTATCCTGGATGAATCCTCTAGCGCGTCCGTCGAGCCAGCAAATCGCCGGGCTTATCGTCTAGCGTGAGCGACCACAGCGGTGTGGCCAACCGGTTCTTGATCGTTCCCGAGCTCCATTTGGATGGCCCAGTATTTTCACGTGTGGCCTGGACGGGGTCTAGAAGCCGGTGCTTCGATCGATGGTGGTTGTGGCTGTGAATGCTGATGGCCTCTCAGACCAGAGGAAACCTGGGCTGCCACTGTCACACCACGGGTGAGGACGTAATGAAGCGCATTATTTATAGAATGGGATTGCGAACCGCGGGGACGATCAGGCGGTGGTGAATAATGTACGTAGTATTGCCCGTGCCGGGGAAAAAGCAGAAATGCTATCCGCTCGGCTTAAGAATGGAGTCAGTCCAGCACAGCATGACGATCCCCGGCGGTGATTAACTCCACCGATAGACAATGGTCGGTACAGAACAGTCAGGCCCTGTCTAGTGGATTGTTTCAGGAACCTCGTAGGTGCCTTACTACTACCCACCTGGGCAGGGAAAAGAGGTACAAGTGGCAGTAATCAGCCATTTACACCGTAAGTCGCTGCAGCAGAAAAGAATGGTAGGGTAACAAGGTAATGAATTAGTAGCATGTTGTATTGAGTAGATAGTATCAGGTCGAGGTCCCAGCGCAGTTGACTCGACTTGTCCACTGGCAGACAACTCTGGCAAAGGCCCGATAGAGAGCGGGTGAACCAGTGAGAGTAATGAATAGCGCGAGGGGTGCATAACCTGGAATCAGTGACTTGCATCATGGCGCCATTGGCGTAGTACGACTTTGGACTGGCTTTAGACGGTTATACGCGATATAGTTCAGCCCAGGAGGGGGTGTCCCTCTCTCCACGGATGAGATTGGACTGTTCTCTGAAACAAGAGGCGGATGATGCTTTGGATATGAATGGATGATAGTGCCAACGGATCACCTCACTGACTCACGTTCTGACACCCTCCCAGATGGGCTGATTATAACCAGTTGAGTCTGGATGCTGGCAAAGAAAAGAAAAGAAAAGGTTCTCGACTTCATTGATGGAGGAGGGGCAAGTCTGTTCCGCCGCTTACCATACATACCACCATGCAGGTTTGTTTCCATACAGTACCCGAACTGCAGGTAAGTCGTCTGTCCAGCCATACTGGTTCTATATGCCTTGTAGCTAGATTTCATGAAAATCGGATCATGGTATTGAGTGATTCTGATAATCTGTATAAGCTTTATAGTGTTTGAAGATATATGTTGGGGGATAAAAACACCCAAGGTGATACCTTCCAGCAATGATGTGCAGTAACAGAGAAGAGGAACTTACAGGAATATGACAATACCACAGAGATAGATGACTGTAATGTCAATACCACCAGATCTTCACCATAATTTTCTTATTTCCTGTTTGGAACATTTTTCCTCATATTTTCCCCTCCTTCGTCTTTTTCGTTTCTTTTTCTTTTTTTGCTTATCACGCCGATTTCACTATTTTTACCTTTTTCGATCTTCCTCACCCCTCACCTCCTGGTCTGCTTTTGCTCCCCTCCTTCTACTCCTCCCCCCCTTTTTTTTAGTCTCTCTTATTTCTTTCTCTTCCTTCCTCTCCTTCTCTTTCACCATGTCTCAACCAACTTCTACTCCCCCCGTGCAACCTCCTCATGCCACCACCGCCGCCCAAGTCGCCGGACAGTCCTCCTCCTCTTCCGCCCGCACCGCCGAACTCGCCAGTCTTAAAGTAAAGCTGCGCGAGGCCCTGCGCCAGTTCCCCGACTTCCCGTCCCCGGGCATCTTGTTCGAAGATATCCTCCCGATCTTCGCTGATCCCGTTCTGCACGAATCCCTGCTCCGCTGCCTCGAGCTCCACATCCTCGAGAGCAACGGCGGCCAGAAGCCCGATGTCATCGTTGGTCTGGAGGCCCGTGGCTTCCTGATGGGACCTAGTCTGGCCCTGCGCATGGGTGCTGGCTTTGTCCCCGTTCGCAAGCAGGGCAAGCTTCCTGGTCCTTGCGACACCCAGGGCTACGAGAAGGAGTACGGCACGGACTTCTTCCAGATGCAGTCTGATGCGATCAAGCCCGGTCAGAAGGTGATTGTGGTGGACGACATCATTGCTACTGGTATGTTTACTATTTCCCCTTCTCTCTTAGTGTCACATATTGTGTGCGAGCATAGTTGCTGATCAACTGAACTAGGTGGTTCGGCGTATGCGGCCGGTGAACTCATCAACCGTAAGGGTGGTGAGCTGATGGGCTTCGTTTTCCTCCTCGAGCTCGAGTTCCTTCACGGACGGGACAAGCTGCCTGCCCCCGTCTACACTCTTCTTACTGGCCAGGAGACCAAGGCTTAAATGACCCTATGACATGCATTCGAAAAACATTCTTACCTGTTCGGAGGACTGCACGCACAAAAAGAGAAAAATCACATACACGCTCGCTCGCTACCACTCCTGGGAAGTGGTCGAACATGCCGCAGACACTGCGGCAGCAACCCCACGGGGTTTCGCCAGAGATCGCTACGGAATCGATCGCATCGACTGGATGGTCGACATGGGACATGATAGAACAAGCAATTGAACTCCCACCCGCCGGGAACGGCACCGAAACGAACCTGACGTGTTCTCTCCACCAGGGCTATAAAAGTTAATATACTTGATGTTTACTTTTTTCTTACACGAGTCGATGTCAATCAGGCGTGGCATGGAACTTTAACATTTTTGCATAGACTATGAAATAGCAATGACACCATGAAATGTAATAATACGCTATGCTTATATTATAGAAGATCTAGCACAAGATCTATGTCTAGTCTATACCAACCCAGCTAGTTCAACGGAATAGCCGGCCTCATAACCTCCTCTGCCCACTTAGCAGGCAACCCAAGGACCACCGACTCACGAATCGCCCGATTCATCCTGGGCACATACTCCGCCTTGGGTGGACCATTCCGCACCCTCACCTCATCCACATACACCAAGACCGGCACTGTCTTGGCCTCATTCCCATCAACATTCATCCACTTAACCACCTCCGCCTCGACAACCCACTTGTTATAACTCCCATGACCCTGCTCCTTCTCCCTCACCATGCCCTCCACCATATCTTCCTCGGCAGCATCCGGAGCCGAATAATCCACGCCCTCAAACCCATCGAGAATCCTCTCATCCTCCTCTCCCATATCATATAACACACCGTACACGGCATCCTCGTCAGGACCGCCCGCAACACCCACCTCGCCGGTCGAGATGCACTCGGCTTGCTGCTTCGAGACGCACATCTCAGCGGGGGGCACAACGTTGGCGTAGCCGCCCTCGTGGATCAGCCAGCGCCATTTTGGGAGGCGGGCGATGGCGAGCGGGATGGAGGAGGAGGGTAGGGCGGTGCAGCGGGAGGCCATTTGCGTGGGGGAGAGGTTGGAGCCATAGGCGAAGTAGAGGGGTTTAGCGGTACCACTGGTGAGGGCGGTTGTGGGGAGTGGGGATGGGGTTGTGGAGGTGAGTTCGGTAAGAGTTGTTGTGGTGGTTGTAGTGGGTTTGGTTGCTGAAGTGGCGGTGGTGATGTTGATGAGGGTGGAGGGGGTGGTGGTGGTGTCGACGTCGAGGTCTGTGTGGAGATGCATTTTGTATGTATTGAGGAGTATGGTTTGTGGTGGTTGTAGAGTAGTAGTAGTATAGAGAGGGATAGGACTGGTATATAGATGTATACTCGAGAAAGAGTGAAAAGTAAGAGAGAGAGAGAGAGAAAGAGTGACTGGAATATAGTACCCCAACCAGTCCAGATAAATCTTCGATCTAAATAAAAAGAACAAGTGTATCTTGCTTTCAAATCCTAAAGACCACCTCTACAGAAGAAAGAAAAGAAGACCAAGTATTTATACCTATCCATTGCCCCCCTCTCCAAATCACAAATCAGGGACACATTCCAAACCACGTAAACCTTAAACCTCCTCGCTTTCAATTTCGCCATCCCGCGCCGTTCGCCTTACATTATACTTTTTTTCGGTTCTAAATCGGCAGGGGTCTTTCTTTACTTGGGTATCGAGTCGATTTTCTCCACGGGGTTTTACCGTTTCGACCAATCGGCAAGTAAATCTGCCCCACCGCCACTTCTTCAGCCTGAGGCTGAGCAACGCTGAGTCATCTGTGCCCCCCCATCCCCCCCGTGGCAGCCACAAAGTATAGTACCTACAACCAATACTTTTCCTAACCATTAATCTTAATGGCGACAGTTTGACGTGACGGGCGGGATCTTCGGTTGTGGAGGCTGGAAGGGGGGACCCGAACGATTGCCGATCATTATTTTTTTTTTTTTTTTTTCTTTTCTCTCTTTCGTTTCGGGGATTTCCGTGTGGAGGTGGCGAGGGTTGGTGAATGGGAGATACGTAGATCTTCATTGTATGGTATGTGCGTATGTCATGGCTAGGGCTTTGGTATGTTAATGTGCAAGGTGGTGGTGGGAGGAGTGACGTGTACTGGGAATGCTACTATGCCAATGTTTTATTATACTAACTAAGATGAGGGAAAGCTATGCTATGGTGCTATCGTATAGGTAGGTACTCGCTGTAATGGGCATATGCTAGGGTAGTAACATATTTCGTCTTACAAAATATACAAATTATTGATGGGAATTCCCTGCGATCGTACCGAATATCGCCGTTTGATTCCCACTCCCGTAGCCTGTCGCAGTAGCTCGTATGTCTCTTGCCCTCCGCCTACCATGACCACGCTGAGAAGCTGGCGCCGCGGGACGCCTGCGGCTGTCATTTGCGTCTCGTCCAGATGAGGCCGCACCAGATAGGGTTCCGCGCGGACCGCGGCTAACCCGGGAGTTGTGGTGGTGGTGTCTGATCCATCGTGCTGGTCCTCGACTTCATCGTCGTAGGAGACCATGATGACGAGTTTCAGGGCGTACCGGGAAGGCGGATACGCGGCGATGTTGCGCAGCTTCTGTGAAAAGCTGCATCCGCCGCGCTTGATCACGAGCACCTGGTGGTTCTGTGCAACTTCTCGCAGAATGCGGTCGTCGCAGAGATCGTCCGCGAAGTAGATGCTGTTCCAGGTGAGGCGTTGCTTGGAAGGGTCGCCTGTGATGGAGACGGTTGTGGCGTCCTCCACGTCGGGGAGTGGGGCGGAGCCGAGGCCCGTGGAGATGGCGGCCGGGAGCAGGAGACGTAATGAGGTTGGTTTCTTCTTCTGCGGCAGGCTGGTCTGGCCTTGCATTTCATCCCGGAGGAGAGTGGATAGGGTATTGACCAGCGAGGAGAGGACGGTCTTCATGCTGGAGGTCGATGCATCTACGCTGCCGACTTTGCTGTCGACGGCGCTGGAGCCGTGGACGATGGCTCCATTGGCACGTCGAGGTGCAGCTGGTTCAGGACTATCATCTGAATCATTTCGTCGACGGATAGACTCTGGGATAACGTCAATGACGATGTCAACCATGGCGGTGTCGCGAACCCGCGTGAAGTTCGGGTCGGTGGGGTCGAGGACATCAAATGTGATTTCCCGTAGAAGATATACCTTCTCGTCTTTGCCCAGCGGCACGTTGTTGATCACCTGGACTCGGAATTCGTCCCCTTCTGCGCTGCCGGTTTCTCCTAGCACAGGGACATCCTGGACCATACTCAGCCGTAGGCCCCCGATGGCTTTAATGAAGATGCCATCGCGCACTCGTTCCAGTGACCCGGGCCCCACGACCATACCGGGAAGCGCGGGAAAAGAGATGTCAAGCGTAGGGCGAATTGTCATTGGTGCGCTGGTCGCGTTGAACGGTACCAGCTCTGGAGGCAATGTCCACGGGAAAAATGTGTAGTTGGTGGGCGACGACAAGTCCGACACTGATACGCTCGGGTGGTCCCGTGCATAGTCCAGAAGGGGGCCTTCCGCTGCGCCTCTACTCGGCATAAGATGTAGACGTGCCAGGTTCGCGGCGTGGAACAGATCGGACCGAGCCGCAGTGGATGAAACTCCTAGTGTTGGAGGCTCAGGTGCTGTTGGGCAGGTCAAACTCTCGCTCTCCACGGCGACCGGTACCTGCTTGCGCTCAGCGCGCTGTGACGTGCTGTTTTTGGGTATGATAAGAGGGTGGCCCTCGGTGGAAAAGACAAACGGCTGATCGAGCTTGTTGAGGGGATGGTCAAAATCGTACAGCAGAAACATGTACTTGGCAGTTTCACCCAGGAAGAAGCTCTCCATGCGGTCATTGAGCTCGCCGTTCCGGACGTCCTGAATACCAGCCCAACCGCACTTAGTCCAGCATCGCCGTTTCAGATCTCGCAGAACCATCTCACCGACATGCAGATACCAGGGATCCTTTGTCGCTCGGTAGAGGTAGTAAGTAGATTCAACGAACTCAGGGCGGCCACCGTACCAGGAAAGGCCCTGCTCAATGTCACCGGTGGCGACATTCCATCGTTCAGGCAGTCCGGAAAACCGAGTCCAGACTGCTGTCGTCAGAAGATGGATGCCGATAGCTTCGTCCACCTCTCCCGCCAGAGTAAGAAGCCCGGGGTAGAAGGCGCTGAGACTGTCGATCCAAAAAGCACGAGTCGCTCCGGTGAAGATGTCTCCCTGTATCAAATGCGGATGCTGATGGCCCTCACCGCGGTACAGGTGGCGTTTGATCGAGGCATGAGACTCCTCCCAGACCTTCAGAAAGGCATCGGCGGAGTGCTCATATTCCGATAGTGGTAAGAAATAATCATCCAGAACATGCCATGGGCTGCTGGTATTTGCCGGGGGTCGATCCCCTGACGATAGTAGCACGTAGGACTTGAAAGCATACTCGAAGAAGCTATCAATTCCTGCGCCAATCTGAGACATCGTATTGTTAGCCACGTCTAGATGCACTTGCCTGAAAACTCACCCCAGTGTAGGAATGAACCCATCTGCCGGATTCGGCATCAATGCCGGACCCTATCAGTCCAATATCACTCCTCCTTGCCCAAACGGCCCAGAATGCCCGCTTGGCAAGCTCCTCATACCGCCCATCGCCTGTAAGTCTGCTCAAGACCGTAAACTCTAGGACCAGACTGCCAGCGCCAGCGCTGCAAGTTTCCGTAGTCTCAAAGGTCGAGGAGCGGCGAGGCTTTTGGCACTGATCAGGATTGGCTTTGTCACACGTAGGGGCTGCATTGAACGGCGAGTTTGCGTAGTACGGCTGCCGTTGCACTCCATATTTCAGGTTCACTCGAGGATAAGGGAGACCAGTGTCCGTATAGAACGCGGGCAGAATTCGGTTCGCAAGATCGACAGCTAGTCGTAGAAGTTGGCCATCATAGATAAATCCGTTGTCCCACTCGATGCCGTGACTACCTTCAGGGAAGGAATGCTTATCCCAGGCTCTGGCGAAGTTGGCTTCGGCCTCCGGCGGATTGTATCCGCTGATAGGAAGATCGCCCACAGCAAAAAGATGAGCGCTGAGTAGACCACCTAGAGTGAACCATTAATCGATGCATACTCTCCATCCACAATATCCGATGCCTACCTAATCCTCGAATCACCGTCTCGAACACCTGCACTTTGCTATCCATGTCGAAGCCTCGACCCCTCTGGCCCTGGCCTGCGGGGCCATTGGATCCATCACCGTACAGTGTAACAAAATCCTTCACTCCGTTTTGAAAGTAATCCCACGCCTTCTGGCCCTGGTCGGGACTCGAGGAAAGTATGGCCAGGGAGGACAGACTGTCGATCAGAGTCAAGGAATAATTTCCCAGGACATCGTTGAGCTCTGCGTGCGCGGGATTATCTCGGTCGCGAACCAGCGGACGGCATGTTAGAGGGCGTAGTTCGTCTTCAGGAAAGGCGTGCTCGAGATAGTTGTCGAATCCGTGGTAGAACATATGCTCTGTCTCCTTCCTAGATATCGAAAGGTGTCAGTCGATCGGCCACAATATCAGGGAGGTTAGAGATCTCAGTTATGGGTGGTGAGATTTACCTGAGTTCCTTAACCTGATCGGTCCGCATGCCCTGGGCCATGGTGAGCCACAGCGACAGCTGCAAGACCCAGATCAGGATCCATGCTGAACGGAGGGCGGACATCTGCGAGTGCCAACATCCCGAGCGCATTACCGCAGTAGCGAAACAGTTATCAATGGCATGGGAGCGCGTTGATGAACTGTTTAATGTGGAATCCCCGCAGACCGGCGAGCTGAATTGCCTCCAGAGAAGGGGTTCCTGGAGGGCAGAGGCTTGAGGGGAAGTTGGTGGTGGCAGCGGCGCCGCACGTGAGGTCGTATTCAATCCGCGGCGAACCAATTTGCGGCCAGATATCCCGTTCACATTCTCTCCACTCCCCCCTTCCCTTCGGACTACGGGATCCCTTAATTCCACTATAGGGGACGTCTATATCATTAATAATACTTTTTGATGAATCAGCTTGCTTACGGTGGGCCTCGTTTCCCAGATATTTTCACATTTAGACGGTCAAGATGTACTTCGCAGTGGAAAACCAAGCTTAATGAAATAGCGCTCAAACAATGCTGGCCGGATAGATCAGTGTGTATATGCCAATGTAACTCCCGCTTCATCCAAAAAGATCAAGTATAAAAGTAAACGAAAAAAACAGCATATGGCTGGTGATGAGAAAGTCGCCAAAAAAAGGAAGGAAGCAAAGTCACAGGGGATATCTCGAGCAAAGGAAATACAGATGAAGGTGATCACAGTGCCGCTATATAAAGGAATTTTGCGGATAACGAGACGATTATGGATGTCATTGTGTCGGTGAATCCAGCTTCGGTATGTCGAGAAAAGAGAGAGGGATATGTACGGTCACGGTTGATGCCCTGATTCTTCAGGAATGCGCCATTGTGTGAATGATCGGGGTTGCGCTTCTATCACATAGTCGACGCCGTTGTCAGAGGTGTAGCTAGGCGGCCGTGGGATCCGCGATTTATTGCTCCCATGCCTGCCAACGCCCTTTGGTGCGTGTGCATTGTTATTCTCGATGCGCTGCCAGTACAGCAAGTCGGGGTTAATTCTCTGCATAGACAAGTCAGCGGGGCTGGTCCCCATCAAGGAAACATATGTCTTTTTGTAAAAATGGCGATACTTACCACACTTTCTCGCCAAAGACCGTAGGCCGGAGGAGGTGCCGTAACCTTTTCGCGCACGGCATTCGGGCTCGCTGCTCCAACGTCCTCATCGCCAGCTAAAATAACGTGGATAGGACGTGCTGGTTGCGCATAGCCGGCTGGCCCTGCCCTACTGGGTATGCGATTCGTAGCGACATCAGAGTCAGGCCGTCGTAACAGTGCCATCAAGAAGCGCGTGAGAGAATGACAGAAAACAATGCCAAGAATTAAGATTCATGAAGATGAGAAGAATTTGGAGCTCTCGGCCCAATGTCGTACGGGAAGCAGCGAATGCGAGGTAAATGGCGATAACGAGTATGAGAAAACATGCGGATATAACTAGTGTGATCAGTCGCCTCCGCAGTTTCTTCTCCTTCAGCCGTGATACGAACGATTGCCTGCATCGGAGGTCTTCAGGGTCTGGCGGGGAGTGTGCTCCATGCGAATCTCGTCCTGAGCGCGCATGCGACCGTGCTTCGCCGGAGCTTCCTGCTGCTGCGGACTGCAACTCAATTGGGACATACGGTCCTCTTGGCGCATATTGAGATGCAGCAGCATTTCTCAGAGAACTATGCGACGGTGCTGGTCGACCAGGTAGACGCGATTCGCGACGCTCAGCGCGGTCACCAAGGATTCGCTGTTCCAGGTCGAGACGATGGTCGGCTACCCATGATGTGAATCGCTCCTCCCGATTGGGAGCTCGTCGGAGTTGTTGGTCATCTGCGATTGACCCACTGGAATTGACATGCGAAGAGCGATCGGGCGAGAACATGCCGGGGATCGAGCTGGAATGTGTTGTCGATCCCGAACGAGACAGCTGAACCGATTCCATGTCAACTCAAACTAGCAGTCGTACAATGACATCTGGACAGACGTAGGGCGCGACTTTAAAGTGCTTCGCAGAGATCACTGATGAGTATTATATGCGTCGATAGCGGGAGCTTCAATCGCGTATATGATATGTTCTGCGTCGATATGTACTGCCGACTTCCGCATTCGTTGAACAACACACAAATAAGCGTCGCGGGAACGCAGAACCGGATGCAAACCGCCTGGAATGAGGGCCTTTACGACGCAAAGCGGATAATTGCTAGCGAAGGCGGATATCTGTGGCCGAACTGGGAAATTGGTTATGATTTCGGACGCTATACATTCATAATGAAGATCGAGCCTGGGGTGTAGGAGGGGGGCCCAGGGGAGAGCAGCATCAGACGCAGGAATCCCGATCGCGAAGTCACAGGACACGGGCGATGGCGACCCAAAGGCGATTAGATAGCAAGAGGGATTGGTGGAATTGTATCGGGATAGAGTAGAAGAAAATTGGATGTTGAAACGAACGCGCAGAAAAAGCGAAGGAACAGGGCGAGCACCAGGCCAGCCGGTTAGGAGAGGGCGATTCGGTTCAGCACGGAGAGAGCGAGAGCGAGAGAGGTTCGACGAACAGTAAACTATTATACCCGAATGATAGTCCGGACGGAGAGGGGATAAGATATCACAGGGGAAAAAGCAAATACTAATGGGCAGATGCCGATAAGGATGAGGAGGTAAAGATGAAGAAAGTGGAAACCAAAAGAAACGTTGGAAAAAGATACTAGTAGCAGAGCCTCAGATGTTGTATGCGAGCAAGAACGAAAGATCCATACTATGAACCCGGGATAAACAATGAGATGGGGAAAGCGAGCGAGAGAGAAACAGAGAGAAAGGAAGAACTGAGAGGCAGAGAGTAACGAGAGAGTAACGAGAGAGTAACGAGAGAGTAACGAGAGAGTAACGAGAGAGAGTGACACTTCCCGTTCCCCAATGGGTAATTATTACGGGCGACTAAGAGAGGGAAGTGGTGCTGCTAAGCAGCTTAGTTGGTTACAGACAGTTTCTCTCTCTCACACGCAGGCCTTTCCTAAACAACTTTGATAGGAAGTAACTTTCATTCTGCCCTTTTGATATTATTATTAGCCATCATTTCCCTATCTTACCCACTTCTCTACGTACAACTGACGGAACTGGGATCCAATTTGCACAACCGGCCTGATCCGATAAAATTATTATTAGTAGCTGGTTAGCTGGTTGATGGACTGCCGAATGCTGATTTGGCGTCTCTCCTCGTTCTTCTGCTTTAGGGGCTGACCATTTTACCCCTGGATGACCCACGTTGCCCTGATATAGACACGGACACCATTCAATACTAAGTATAGCCACAGCTCCCCTCCCTCCGTCGGCCCCCAGCTGCTGCATAGCTATTGATTGTACGCCATAGCTGTCTTCATCTAAGATTTGAACTATCCTAGTCCACTAGTCTGATTTACAACAGACCTGTGCACCGGCAACTACATCTGTGCTCCTTGACACTATTCCCCGTGGCATCATCAAATTGATCGGACTCAACTCTCACTTTCGGTTCTGACGGGCCGATGCTTGGATGCGGGTAAAGATTATACTACTAATACTAGTACTACTAATATTAAGGATGGCTGTGGCTCCTCGCGCCTGAAGGAAGCCAACTGTTTCGGTCTCACAGTCAGTTCCCCCTCTTAGGACCCTCTTCTCAAGGGGGCCAATCGAGCGCCAATAAATCCCTCGACGCGCTGGTAATTTTTATTAAAAGCGGCTACCACAGCTTACTGAGACAAAGCTGGCCCGTAGCTAGGGTCACTTATCGCCATGATCTTCCAAGGTTACACAAATGGAGTGCGAGCCATTATCATTCTGACGTATATTATTACACTTGTAAGGCACTGAATATATGGATATACTGCGCTCCACGGGAGGTAATCTAATAATGGTAGTAACCATTTCCCCGTCATGCGGCCGGCCGTTCTCCCCGGTCTGCCCATAATCGGCTAATCTACCAGCCTTGGTTGACACATTTCAACCGGCAAGCAGGGTTGATGCTGGAAGGTTCTCTTGCCATCACTATTCGCCACAAGTCTAACTAAACTTGATGGAGCGGGGACCCGGAATTTGTTGTCATTGATAAATGCTGTTCGTAATGAGACGGATTAAATAGCGGTTGTGTTGACTGGGTGTGCTGCATATGCGCTTCCCCTCACTTGCCAAGTTCACCGAGCATGAGCGTTCTATCGGACGATCCCGAGACAACTATAGACAGACATTAGTATACCAACGACTTTCCCCAGACCCGGTGTGACTTACTGATGGGCTCATTGTTTGGTGAGAACCGGACGTCATTGACGGTCCCCTTATGTCCAGGGAGCTTGTATAGAATTTTGCCGGACTTCGAATTCCAGACTACGACACTTCTGTCACCACTGCCCGCCGCAATCTTCTCTCCACTCGGGTCCCAACTGGCCCGGATGAGGTTCTTCTCCAGACCGACCGGCGCACCGTCAAATGTCCTGACGTGTCGGTTGGCCGGCGCGAATGGCCGGATGTCCCACGTGCGTACGGTCGAGTCGTGTGAGTTGGAAAGAAGAGTTTGCGAGTCGGGTGAGATTTCGAGAGAGGTGATGGTCTCCGTGTGTCCCGCCATGGAGTAGACGATGCCCTTCTTCCGTAGATCCCAAGCATGAATAGTGTTATCGATGCCGCCACTGTAGATTTCGTTACCCGCCTCCGAAAGCGCCACTGCCGTGATGGGCAACTCGGTTTCCAAATACTCGATGGCATCCTTCTGCCGGGGATCCCAGATGCCTATGCAGCCGTCGTCACTTGCGCTAACCAGCAATTCCTGGCCTCTTTTACTTATGTCAAGACAATTGATAATCTCCTCGTGCCCAATGTGCCGGCGTATCCTTTGTCCGGTCTCGAGATCCCAACTAGCGAGCGTCATGTCGGCCGATGCGGAAAATAACGTTCTGGAGTCGCGCGACCATTGAAGATCAAGAACTGCTCCCCGGTGGCCTGATAGCGCACCATAGTTCTCGCATTGTCCGTATGTGTTCCAAAGCACTGTTGTCGGCCCTGCGATTAGCCTGTACCCTCTAGCCACTACAATCAGAAGGAACACGTACAGATAGATCTATCCATTGAGCCCGAAGCAATGTGCTGGGCAGTGGGATCAAACCGCACCGAAAAGATTTCACCAGAATGACCTAGTATTATCCATTATATGTCAGACTTAGTCGTAAGTCACCGCGGTGGTGCAGCTCACCATTCATTTCCATAATCGGTGCTTGAAGCCCGCTGGTGCGGGGAACCTATAACCAAGGTCAACAATAGAACCTGACAAAAACCTCAATTCTCCGATGACGCGGGATAAAGCATACCGATTGAATCAGAGCTCCATTTTGCGACGAGCTTTGGACGATGGCTGTGCTATCATTGAGACCGGCGTCGGACTTCTTTCGCTTGACGACAAGCTGGTTCGATGAGCCAAAGGCTTCTTGCGCAGGTCGCTTTTCCCCCGACATCGTTGGAAGTAAATTCAGCGGCGAGTACAATCAATGGGTATGCGAGTCAAAATAGGGATGGAGGCTGAGCGTAGAAAGCAATCAAGCCTAGTAGCTGGGGAAATCTGGACTGGACGCGCCGACCCGGACTAAGTCTTGCGTCCGAGGCTCTAAGCATGGTTTCTGCGTAAGCGCCAACCAGCCGCGCTAGGCGCCGAGCGCTGGTCCACCAGGCGCGTGAAGCTCCGCCTCAGGCCCCCTCGGTCCACCGAATCAAGCGGGGAAGAGTGCGCATTGCTCTTGTCATTGTTTACCAGCCGCTTGCAAACTTGAGTTCTTTTGAAGTTTTGCATCGTTCATATTTACTTACTTTGACTTCGGGCTTAACGAGTGTGATTAGCAATCATGTCATCTGCAACAAAAGCGTCTAGGATTGGGGAAGAGTAAGCTGTTCATTTACCTCACTTGACCAGTAACCCCTTACTAACGTTCTGAACCCGACAGGCTGTGGAAGTCAGTAAGCTGCATGCGCATAGTTGGCGCTCGAAGGCCCCTTAGGAACCGAGCGAAGCCAGCTTGAAACGGATGGACAACTGACATACTCCCGACCTTACCAGGACGAGAGTTGACAAAGTGAACGCCGAGTTGGTAACATTAACGTACGGTACAATTGTCGCGCAACTTTGCCAGGACTACGATGGAAACTACCAAGAAGTGAACAAGCAACTGGAGAAGATGGGCTACAATATTGGAATGCGACTTATCGAGGACTTCTTGGCCAAGTCGGGCGTGGGCCGTTGTGCTAATTTCCGGGAAACAGCGGATATGATCGCAAAGGTATCTTGAGTCCAACAGGCGGAGCACTTGGCCGAAACTATATGGACCCCTGTGAGCTGACGAGTGTTATGCCAATTGCAGGTTGGGTTCAGGATCTTCCTCAACATCGCGCCCACGGTCACCAACTGGACGAGTGACAACAACCAATTCTCTCTCATATTTGAAGAGAACCCGTTGGCGGATTTCGTTGAGCTGCCCGATGACGGACGGGCTCAAGATGAGCTGTGGTTTTCTAATATTCTCTGTGGAGTTCTGCGGGGTGCATTAGAGATGGTAAGACGGCGTGCTGCAGGGAGTTGATCTGTTCTCTGCTAGCCACTTCCATGCATATCCATGCTAATTCTGGGAACAGGTGCAAATGCAGATCGAGGCGCATTTTGTGAGCGACGTTTTGCGGGGCGATGACACAACGGAAATGCGGGTATCACTTGTAAGGTACATTGAGGACGAGATGCCACCCGATGAGGAGTGATGGCGCCCGCCGCCTGGTTCTGAAATTGTTTATACAAGTAGAGGCGTCTGGTGTTATGAGGGTTTAATCCGCCGATCTGGAGCTGCAGTTACCAATGAATACTACCTTTATTACGGTTTATGATTGATACTGAGTCTTGCATCTGTAATTCCAGTGTCTAGATTTCTCGCACTAAACCCCGTTCACATAGAAGGTCTCCTGCAGGTCACCAGTTCAAAACACCAATCCATTGTCACAGACGGACAAGATGAACAATTGCATGAAAATGGAACTAACGAGAAAAGCAATTTACGACGATAATCTAGGTCTAGAACATGACCTGTCAACATAGTAGATCTCATCTTTACAAGTAGACACTCTCCGAAGCCGGAGCATGGGGATCTACACGGGTGCCATTAAGTATGACAGGCGCACTGGTACCTCATCAAGGCGGTGTGAGATTCTGCCATCCCGGAGAAGACCACCGACGCGATTCAAGTCCCTGTAATAAGCCCGCAGAGAACAAGCTTCACGGTCATTGCATTTCACAGACTTGAGAAGTGATTTTAGACGTTCTAAGACTACAGAATGTGTATAGTATATAGTGTATTGATTTTCCGGTGAATCAAGAGCGGAGCAATCTCAATATGAATGTCGATAGATTCTGGCCAACACATCTCCCACGGAGGACGGCCCGCACTATTCACGACTCGGCAGTGATCGGAGACTGACGGCCGTGACCTGTACTCCGTCTGATTGATACAACGCGATCCAGTCTGATCCTGCTGATCTAGCTACGGAAAAGTGTAATCACAGAGCGGCAGAGCCCGAATCTTGTCCCGGAAGAGCTAGAATAGAGATACCGTGCGCGGGGAAGGGTAGAGATCTCAATTGATATCTAACTCGTATGATGTGCAACATCAGTATCTAGACTGCTAACATTTCACCACAGAGTCCGGGGAACGGCAGGATGGGCAGATCGGCGCAGGAAATCCTCACCCGGCGGGAGAGGCACCACGTGATGCGCTAGACCACAACGGGGGCAAAGCATCCCATCATTCCCAGGGTGTGCCAGGATATACGCGGTGGCGAGTCTGCGATTCAGGAAAAGCAGCCTCAAACTGTCAAATAGAGAATAAGAGAAGGGGGAATCGTGGTGTTATTCACTTCTTATTAAGAAAAAAATCTTCTAGTGATCTCGATGATTTGAGAAAGTCATTGAATACGAATTGTCTATTTCAAATCTATAGTATAACATTCATTTGTGTTAGTGGGTTCAAATCAATGAATCAATCAATTACATTGTGAAGGGTCGCGGTGATTTCCGCTGTATCAGATACACTTTATACACCACCAGATCGGGTGGATCACTCGGCGCGTGTTAATGCTTCGGACTCCAAAGGGAGCAAGAGACTGAGAGTGAATTAGTTAGAGAGAGACAGGTATCTTATATAACTTATAACCAGCCTCTTTGATTTATTTGAAATTTTTACCGGCATCTTCTCCTTTTTTTTCTCGTTTCATCTCTCTCACATTGCGATCAAATATACTGGTAAGTTGTTGCTTCGATATTCTTGAATCTTTCATGCTCGTTCTATTAGAATAGTCCTTCATGTAAAACATCATCTGTTGTCTTTCTATTATCTCATTGTGTCAACTCTTCTCTCTCTGTCTCTCTCTCTCTGGTTACAAATTTTTATTTTTTCCCATCGGGATTTCCGCTGGAACTGCATGCTGAGATATACGCGAGCCAGCCGCATCTCCCAGCCCTCCCACGGCGTTCCGGACAAGATAATCCGCGCCGAACAAGCGATTCACGCCCGGCCGGCAGTGATTGAGCAACTCCAGGCACCGCGCCTGATATCCACGTCCTCCCACCCACCAGAGAACACCTCAGATCCACCGCTACACCTTGTCCTAACCTTTGCCTCTCTCTCTCTCTCCTCCCTCCCCCCCCCTCCACTTCCTCCTCTCAAATCTGCCGGATCTCTCCGTCTGTCCCCCCTTTCCTTTTGCTGCAGGGGCTTTTGAGGATACTTCTGTTGCTTCTGAAGTCCTCTCACATCCTTGGCTCTGGCTGGTACCCCCCGTCGGGTTGCGTCTGGTCGGGTTCTCTCCTATACCTCGTTCCCGTCCTTTGCCATCCTGTGTCGCTTGTTCGCCGCCCTGCCCCCCCGGCTGATCTTACCGCGCATTTTCGGTCAACTGGCTTCTGTGAACAAGTACACCAATCCTTTCTTCTCTTAATCTATTTTCTCTCTCCTTATCCCGTCTGTCTCCTGCTTTCAACTGGACCGTGTCTCGATTGAAAGTCCTTTTGCCCGCTTGTGCTCCGTCTCGCCTCACCTTGTGGAAGTCACCGAAGATTCTTTCTCTTCTTCTCTCCCAGTTGCCGTATGCTTCTGAGTGGGCCACACTCGCCTTCCCTTGTTGGTGATCATCACGACACCTTTGCTCTGCGTTGTCCTATCCTCTCCGTCAGAGATACCCCCCTCTACGTCAGTTAGCGTGAAACGATATCGCGGGTTCAACTTCCGCCTAGATTAGTCCCGGAACCCGGCTTACTCCCTGGCGATCGCGCATTCAGGTCTGGTTACGAAGCCGTCCTCAAACACTGGGCTGGAAGCATCTGTGACCCTGCCTTGTACATTCCCTCACCTTGGGACCTTGATTGCCGCGCGCTGCGCCTCGTCGCTTCCTTTGTGGTGAGCTCCCTCGCCGCAAGACGGTGGATGCGCGTTGAACGTTCTCGGACCCCCCGACGCTTTCCCATCGAAGACAATAACTAGGTGAGGGTGGCTGGACCCTTCTTTTGAGTGCCACCATGAATCAGATGAACCAGATGAATATGGCTGGAATGAACCCCGGTGCAGGGGGCCCAGTGGGAGGTGTGCCCATGATCAACAATGGCTCTGCCGCCCCCCGTAACGAACAAAACATCAACATTCCTGAAAACATGATCAACAACCTCAACACTTATATCTACGATTATTTCTTGAAGCGCGGCTACCACGATTGTGCTAGGGCGCTTGTGAAGGACGAGTCCATCAAACTTAATACCGAGCCGCCGATCAAGACGAGTCCGGGTCATCGTCGCGATGCCGACGTGAACGGTGTCGACGGTGATACAATGATGACGGATGGGAAGGATGGAGATAAAATGAAGATTCCTGATGACCTCCCCCGCCCTAATCTCCCTAATGAAGGACAGCAGTCGTCATTCCTCCTTGACTGGTTTAGCCTCTTCTGGGATTTCTTCTGGGCTCAGCGCAAGAAGGGAAACAGCAATGATGTGAGGAGTTATCTTACACACACCCAGGTACGTGCTCTTTCTTTCCTCTTTGCCGCCTGTCCGAACGTCTAACTGAGGCTTTGTAGAATATGATGCGCCTCAGGGAACAACATCAGAATCAATTATTACGACAGCAGCCACTGATGAATGGACAGATGGGCCAAAATATAATTCGCCGAAACGGCATGGTCCCCCCTAATCTTCAAAAAACTGTGTTGCAGAACAATACTTCTGGCCTGTACGCGCCCACCTTCCCTATCTCCTGCGCCACCTCGCAAGAGCATTCTGACCTTGGTACTGACTGCGTCTTTCACAGGTCGCAACAACAACTCGCCCAGATGCATAAAAACCAGCAGGTCCAGATCATGCAACAGATGCAGCGAGAGCATTCGGACATGGACATGAACGGCCATCGACCCCAGTCCCCCGCATCGGCAGAAAATGCCCCGTCTCCGTCGAAACGACCTCGCCTCGAAGGTGGCCCCATGAACGGGCAGCAACTGGCGCCTAACGGACGCGGTCAGGCCCAGGGTATCCCAGGCCAGCCGACCCCGCAAGCACTTTTGATGCAGAACGGACTCAATCGGGCGATGAACCCCAATCAGTTCCAGGCTTTCCAGCAGTCGGGACCGGCTGCGCAGCAGAAACAGATGCAGGTATATGCTCACAACTTGGCCGTTCATCACACACGCTCAGCATTGACGAACCAGGGCATGCCGAATGGTATGATGAATCCCGCGAATGTCATGGCAAACCCGCAGACGGAAATGGTGTCCATACCGGAAGGCCAGGTGTATCCCATCAACGGTGACTACTATGGCGCGAATGGTCAAATGGCCCAGGTTCGGACGGGGATGCAGACACCTGGCGGTCAGCACGGCAACCACGCTCTCCAGGATTATCAGATGCAACTTATGCTGCTCGAACAGCAGAATAAGCGGCGTCTGATGATGGCTCGCCAGGAGCAGGACAGCATGGCTCGGCCTGATGGCCAACCCCCATTGCCCGGGCAGCAGTTGCCACCAGGCACCTCGCCCCAAGGCAGCAGGGCTGGCACATCGCCGAATCCCAACGACCAAATGAAGCGAGGCACCCCGAAGATGCCCCAGACCGGCCTCCCCGGATCACCGAGCGCTGCCGACGCGATGGCCCAGGGCCGTGGATCCCCGGCATCCATGAACTTCCCTGGTGGCCAGATGCCTCCCGAGATGGCGGGTCCCCAGTTCTTCGTCAAGAACATGGCTGATGGTATGGCGGCCCCCAACGGCATGCGTCCTCCGAGCTCCAATCCTGCGTTCAGCGCCCCTCAGATGGGTCAACCGATTCAAGCTGGTGCTGGCAATCGCATGCCCAACGGAGGTTGGCAGCCGCAGCAAGGAGCTCAGGGCCAGCCGATGGCGCCGCAGCAGTCGCCCGCGACCCAGCCTCAGTCCACGGGAACGCCTCAGGAAAGGAATGCCATGCCGCCGCCCCAAGCTCCCCCAGCACCTGGTGCCAACGTCGGTCGAACCCAGCCTCCGTCGCCCCAAACCGCCGCTCCGCCGACGCCGCAGCAAGGCAACAAGCCCGCTCCGAAGAAGAAGGAGACCAAGGATAGCCGGAAGGTATGTAATCAATGCTCTTGGTTGTTGACCCCCCTTGTCATCTCATATTGAACGCAAATCTTAGCGACCGAAGAAGGGCGCTGCTGCTGCCGCCGCCGCCGCCCAGGCGAACACGGCTGCCACGCCATCTTCCGAAGCAGAACATCCGCCGACGCCTACGCCGTCGACGCCGATCACGCCCCAGCATCCGAACTCGTTCAACAAGGCCGGTGCAAATGCTACGACTAGTGCTCCGCAGCAGCCAACGTCTGCCCCTGCACCTCCGCCACTTGTTCAACAGCCTCCGGACCAGACGCAGCAGCCTTTCAATGAACTGAGCATCCCTGATGTATGTTCCTTGCCTCTTTCGTTATGTTCGGTGGATATTATACTTACATTATTGAGCAGGCATCGGCTTTCAATCTGGACTTTAGCGCCTTAGAAAACCCGGACATCCTGGAGAATTTCGACTTCGATACGTTCCTCAACACTGATGCAGACACTGCTGGATTTGGATTTGACCCCAACATATCGTATCCAACCGATGGTGTTGAGACCGGTGCCGGTGATGGCTTGTGAAATGAAGTCCGACGGTTGTTAAGTCCTTAACTCATATACCCTTGTTCTGTACATTTCCATAAACTTGAGTTCGTGCTTTGTGCTTTGCTTTTTGCTTTTCATGTGTCATTTTTTTTCTCTTCCTTTTCTCTGCTTGTTTTCGCATCGCGTCTTCTCCTATCCTTGTGTTCTGTCGACATGATTTGGATATGTGCCCAAGTGACTAGGCGTTGGTGTATCCTCTTTTCCTTTTGCATATCCTTTCTTTCACTCTGCCAACCACAAGTGTCGACCGGCTTCCGATGGGATTTGCTTGATTGCCCTGCTTGTATTCAAGCTACGTTCCAGTGGCCTCGTGTGACTGCTTTTTATATCCTCTTATCACTATTACTACTTGATTAATCTGGTCATCAAACTTCCCAAAGGGCCATCGAGTGATGCGTTTCTCCACCATCCTAGCGTTAGTCATGCTCCATTTAATGCTCGAGAATACTTACATCACAAGATGCGCCCCTGGCCCTTTCTTTCTCCTTTCCTTTTCTTCTTCAACCAATTTCTCTTTCCCTTGACAAACCTTTTCTTTTCCTCTTTGCGCTTTGATTCCATCTGAATCTTCTTATTTATACCTTCTTCCTTTACTTCTTTATATTACTTATTTCCTATGTTGATCTCTTTACCGTGTTGTGGCGTTATAATCAACGAGGCTCTAGTCGTTATTGACTCCTCTCAGGGAAATGGTTTCATGAAATCGAGAAAGATACTCACGTTCTTCTCTGCTGTTCTTTTTTCCTCTCTTGACTGACTTAACTCTCATGCTACCGTATCACCTTAAATCGAACTGCCTGCTTCCTGCCGTACATTTCACTGCGCGCTGCTATTTAAATCTACCTTTACTGCCTGCAGTTATTCATGCTTTTAAACCAGATCCGTCCGGAAGACACGTCTCGTCTCTGTTTGATATTGGTTGGTGTGTGAGTGAGTGAGTGAGTGATTGTGTGTATAGGGAACCAGGCCAAAAGCGAAATTCTGGAGTAGTTTGAACCCAAAATTCAGCTGTCTGTTTGATTCCCTCCCTTTCGTACATATCTTATTATATAGCTAGCTAGCTTACTTTATATCTGTCCTCTGAAGGGTAGAATGATAACCAACTGATTACTTGGTGTTGGCTCTATCATTGCCATAAATACTTCGCAGTATGAGTGAACTACGCTATAGTCGAAGGAATTAATCGTCAACACAAGCTGCTTACTGCTTACTGCAGCTAGCTAACTAGCTGCATAACTGCACATCTGCATGCATACATGTAACAGGTCAAATCAAATCAAATTCCTTCACACTTAATACTAAGTTGCCAAAATACCATGCCATCTAATTCACAGAGTTGATACTTACTACCAAACAATCGCTTGGTTAACCCCTTCCCCCCAAACAAGGTGAACTAGGGACGCTGCTGGTATTATCATTATAATTCCTTATATCAGCTACTAACAGCCAGATTAGTTATATTATCACTGATAGTAGCTTCACTCCCTATTATGTTATGATAATACCTTACTTACACCATCTATGTATGTAAATCTCTGTTATCCCCCTTACACTGTCTTGGGCTAATCAGCTACTAATATAGATAGTAAGTAAGTACTTGAAGTAAACAGGTAATATCGTATTGTATTGTGATGGTAACTATCCCCTTCAACACCACCAGATGTATACTTACCAAAAGGGTACGGGGGATGACACTGCGAGCTTGTTTCTGCTGACGAGGAAGTCAAGTGGGCAGGTAGATGGTATCGATTCGTATGCTAATGATTACTGGCTTACTTCAGTTTAGTTTTATTTCTGGACGTTGGTAGACGGAAAGGAAGTGTAGGTGATGTGAAGTCTTTGCATGTTGGGTAGGTTGGTGAAGAATATTATCGCCTAGAATGTCGGGATCGTGATGGGCGAAGACATGGCTCTTGGACACCGATGTCTGATAGTGGATGTATCATTGAGATGTTGGGAAGGGCAAGGCATTGATTTTCACTGAGCAGGAAAAGTGACATGAACAAAAAAAGCAGATAACGGAAGGCATGTAAAGAAACAAAGGACTAGTCGTTTTTGTTAGCTATGCAAGATCTCTGAGGATGCTGGTCTGTGGATTCTGCAAGCTAACACTCACTACCCTCCTAGCTGCTGCTATCACCACTAGAATAAGTACATTGAATGCTAAAACACAACATCCTGGGCTGAAAACATGAGTACTGACACATCCACACGTTTCACCCCAAGCAAATTCAGTAATCGTAGCAATTGGTATAAGGTAACGAGAGTTCATCGGTCATGACTGGACCTCAACATCGACGCCCTATGTTAAAACTCGTTAACAGCCGAATCGATAAACAACACAAGCTGACGAAGTAGGGAGAAGAAGCAAGCAGTGCACTGGAACTAAATGCCTATCTTGACCATATAAGAATAATTCCATCATTTCAGTGACTGCTACAGTGCTGACCCAGCAAGCTGGGGCCTAGAACAAGGCAGTCACCAAGCCTAGCGTTCATAAGTGGATTCTTGAGCTAGCAGAAAACCGTGTCACCCTAGGAAATGGGAGAGACCTCTGCACGGGCAGAACCTGTAGATAACTTGCGGCTGGACCGAGTTGGGGTTTCCACACCTCCGCTGGTACGCACTACCAGCTTGGAGGGGGTTTCGCGGGACTTGTCGTTCACTTTGAGCGGCGAGCCCCCGAGAGATTCATTGTCCTTACTCTGGGACATGCCCTCCTTGCGGCTTTTGACGCGTGGGCTAGGGGTAGCATGAATCTTGGTAATTGCCGCCCCCTCAGCCGCCTCCGAAGCAGCGGTGGATTTAGTGCTGGACCCAGACGCTTCTCTAGTTCCAGGCAATGATATCTCCTTCAAGATCGACGTGCGGCTGCTGCCTTTGGTGTAGGGTGCAGAACGCGCTTCGGCAGCTGCAGAAAGCTTATTCCCCATGGGTAAAGCAGTAGAGGGGCTATTGCTGGGTGCAGCAATGCCGAACAGGGCCAGTGGCTTGGGCGGACTCAATGCTTCAATCAGCTGCCGGTATGACTCCTCATCGACGGGGGTTACTATGCTGGGATGTTTGCTATGCTCGTAGCTAATGCCCGTCATGCTGGAGATGGCGCGACTACTTCCGGAGCTAGAGATATAATCGGGCATGGGAACATCCTCGCAAGATGATCGTGCACCTCGATGCCGGATAACAGGGTCGGTGAAGGGATCTGGCATGCATTGGCCTTGCCACTGGGGTAGAGGCATCTGAATCGATCTTTGATAGTTTCGATATGCCCAGGAATTGCCTGAATGGCTGCTTACTTGGCTTCTGGGGGCCAACACCCGACCCTGGGCACCTTGCTTACTGGGAGAGTGGGCGTGTGAGTCCTCTGCTGTCAAATTAGCAGGATCGATGCCCGAGTTGTACTTGAAAAGTCGTGGCTCCCGTGTCCACATCGAAGGGTTCGGCCAGGCGATGTTTGAATGCTCCAGGACCTCTACACTCAACGGGTCAGTGCATCTATGAAGATAGATCTTCTAAAGTAAGCACTTACGCAGTGGTGCATGCTGGAAGGCAAATGCGACGATCTCCTTGACTCTCTCGAAGGGTGGATAGCGGTGTGGGCGACAAAAGCCCTCAGCAATCACAACTCTAATCCTACCGTATAGCTCAGCTGCATCCCAATGTCTCTGCTCTAAAATTTCCTGATGGAACGGAGGGAAACGGAGGCTATCCTGATTGCCAGTCTTATCGACGTCTAGAATCTTGCTGTTAGATGATGTCTTGTGAACAAAGGTGGAATTCGAGAGGATTGATGCAAAGCATACACGAACTTAGGTCTAAAGACGAGAACGTAAGGTCAGCTATAAATTTGACAACAGAAGGATCACTTCTGCTCACCAATAACATGGGGCCATCCCGATCTCTGATGGAAAACGCTACCCCTATGGCACACAAAGGCTCAGTTCATAGCCTCCGGTTGGAGGCTCGGGCAAGCACCTACGAGACACATAGGCCATCAATAAAGACCCGCACCTCGAAAAGCACTGCATCATCTGGCTGCAAGAGGCTTTCCATCAACCGACTGGGTGTGGGCTTCTGCCAGCTATGAACAGACACACGGAATGGGGTGTTGTGACGCAAACTTGGGACGAAAGTAGTGAGAACTGGCAACTGGCCCTCATTGCTCTGTGGCAGAGGACAAGTAGCCGGACTGACAAGACCGGGACTATGCAAGTAGGGTGAATCTGGTAGATAGATTGGGGGTCAGCAATAGAACAAGCCACGAATCTGCTCCAATCTTCGCCGACACTGACCCTTATCCTTCGTGACGAAACATTGGGTCTTGAATTCCTGAATGGGCACCTTGGACGACTCGGGGAAGAGAATCACGTCCCAGTCTTCGTACCGCATTCTGGCTGCCCCAAGGACTATAGTCTGCGGGTTAAAATGAGGAAAATGGAAGAAATTGAACCTCGATCAGGGACTAAGATACTAAAAGTAAAGAGAATTGAACCGATCCGAGTGGAAGGGAGGGGGTTCCTAAGAGAGAAGTAGGTATCTCCTCCACCACGACGAGGAGACAGTAGCATGAAGGTATCAGAGGGCGAGCAGGCAAAGGAAAAGACCTACCGGGGGTCGCACCTGCCAGACTGGCTAGATAGATAAGGGAGTACCTGCCTCATGAGGACATACCCTTCGAGTTGAAAAGATTACAGACAAACCCGAACCGGATGACCAGATTTGGGAGGGCAGGTACGAACCACAAGACAGACAGAAAGAGTACTAAGACAGGAATGAAAGGAAGAGAGATATATAGGTTTGAAAACTCATAATGCAGACCTGGCGACATGCGCCCAATTCAGATTGTTTAGGCATCTATTATCGAGTCCCATGTACACGAGGGAGGAGCAGATGCGAGCAAACATGCTCCAATCTGCCATGCTCGCAATCGCGGTGCATACACACAAAAGGCAAAGTAGTCGGGGAAAGGAACACAGAGCTCACTGCAGAGCGAAGGGGGAATCATCCGTAAGAATAACGACTAAATGAACATGCCAGTAGTGGAGCTGACGCTGGAAACAACACCACCCTCCTCGGTGACACAAGGAAAACAACCAGACTTACGAACGCCCCTCTCCCAAACCGTGATTTGTTTGTTCACAACAGGATGCCGTCATCAGTGCCCGAGGATAGGTAGGAACAGAAAAACCACCCACCACCCAGTAACTACAATTTAAACGAAGAGATAGACGCATTAGGAAGAGCCCCGTTCTGTCATAAAATCATCAATACCAGCCCCAAGTCCCACACACCCGGCAGGGGGATAGAGAAAAGTACACAACCCAAGCCGTCCAAAACATCCGCGGAACGCGCCAGACGCAAGACGGGGGAAGGACCTAGCAAAGGACCACCGCATGGAAAGAGCGAGAGAAAGAACTGTGCTCCATAATAGACTGAATTGAGAGAAATAAAAGGCGAGGTGGAAACATGTTGTACAGGCCGCCCGGTCTAAGAAGCACGACGTAACATCCTCACAACGAAACAAGAATACGATTGGATTGCTTCATGAAAAAGGACTTCAGCAGAGGAACTTTTCGCAGAAAGCCTGCCCAGGGAATAAAGGGGGGGAACACCGCACGCGCATTCAACAATTCCGATTGTCGTCATACGCATAATAACATAGACCTAGGGCCCGAAGACGTGAGGAGAATGTAAAAAGCGGACATGGGATAAAGGGAAGAAACGGGGGAAACATATGAGAATTGGGGAGAGTGGCGAAGGAAAATTTGGGGGAGGTTTAAAAAGGGGGAATGGGAGAACAGAAGAATAGTAAAACGTGAAGATAGATAACGATGAAAATCAGAGCTCAAATCTGGCTAACAATGGAAGCGCTCGCATATGAAGTACGTAGCACAGGAGAAAATGCCCATCCAGAGCTATAGAGGGTAACTTTCGCAGAGATCATGGCAGACTTATAACACAAAAGACCCATCGTGAAATGACAAAACTCCTGCTGGTTCTTTCAAACTAAAATGGAAAGCTCTTTTACTAAGTCTGGGCGTTAGTGATGCTCTGAACCCCACCAGCCTCGGAGGGAGAGTTCAAGGGGAACCGACCTTCATAGGCGCGAAGCCGCCGTATCCGTGAGCGGGGGGCATGCCCATGGAGGGGTACATGGGAGGCGGAGGGGGAGCAGGACGGTAGGGGCTGCCGGCAGGGCCAGAGTTGTTCTGAGAGCGACCCCAGCTCAGACGCACGCGGGAGTTTCCAATGGGATATCCCTGCATCTGGTTGATGGCCATCTCAGCAGCATGGCGCTGGACGAACTGGACGAAACCGCAGCCCTTTCCAGGGGGGATCTTGACGTAGGTGATTTCACCGAAGCCCTGGAAGAAGGAGCGGAGCTCATCCTCAGTGACGTAGCCAGAGAGGCCGCCAACGAAAACGGTGGTGTTGTTGGGGTCGGTGAACTGGTTCATGGGCTGGGGAGCACCGTAGAAGCCCATGGGGGGAGCGCCCATGGGAGGGTACATGCCCGCGGGGCCGGGCATGCCCATAGCACCGGCAGCACCAAGGCTGGGGCCCTTGTTCTTGGGAGTAGCAGTAGAGATGCGCATGGGACGGTTGCCACAGTAGACACCCTGCATCTCGCTCAGAGCACGCTGCTGGTCGTTCTCATCGGAGAAGCGGACGAAGCCGTAGCCACGAGACATGCCGCTGATGGGGTCGGTCATGATCTTGGCGGACTTGCAAGACGGGAAGCGGCTCTGGAACAGAGAAACGAGGACGTACTCGTTGACCTCAGGGCCCAAGTCACCAACGAAGATCGAGTACTCAGGGCCACGGTCATCACGGCTATTTGACATGTTAGCTTGTGACCTCAGATACTATATGTGACATCTTCTCCTTACCTGCGGTCGGCAAGACCACCACCGGTAGCCCAGTTGAGCTTGAACAGACGGTTGGTGTTGGGCATGGGGGTGCCGTTCAGGGACAGAGCCTTGGCGGCGGCGGCAGGGGACGCGAAGTCGACGAAGCAGTAACCGGCGTTGCTCCTACTACCAACATTAGGATCGCCTTCATATTGAATCCAGTGTGATTATGTACTCACCCAGAAAACTTATCGCGGATCATTTTAACGTTGACCTGCTCACCCATCTGGAACCAGAGGTTGCGAACGAAGTTCTCATCGATCCAGGGCTCAAGCTCACCCATCCTAAACGGCACCAGTCAGAGACAGCACGGACAAGAGATACTGCACTGGGAAAACTTACCAGAGGGTAGTCTTTCCCTCGTTGGCCTGCTGGGGAACAGGGGCAGCAGAGGGCTCCCCGGGAGCAGGACCCTGGAAGGGGGCGGTAGTAGGGTCAGCCTGGCCGGTCATGGCGGTGTCCGCGGTAGCAGGAGCGCCAGGAGCGGCAGCGGCGGCGTCAGCAGCAGGGTGCTGGTTTTGGAAAGAATCAAAGTTCTGGAAAGACATGTTTGACATAAAAATTCGACTTTCGTAAGAATAACTGCGAGATAGGTATCTGGAAGTCCAGCATGAATATTAGTAACACTTTCAACGAGTGAAAAGGATCGAGTGCTGGCCAGTCGCAGTTGCGCGTACCTTAGTGCAGGTAAAAGAGCAGAAACCCAAGCAAACAAACTTTTCTATACCGAAATTGGCCCGTGCGAATGGGGTTTCGTAGGATTCGTCAAGGAAAGAACTGCGTGCGATCGTTCAGACTTGAAATGACTATTAGTACCAGAGAATTGACTTCAGGAACGAAGGTCCTTGGGTAGCAACAAGAAAGAATTCAAAATTGGCGAGGCAGAAAAGCACGAGTAAATCAGAAATAAAGGGAAAAAAATGGGAAAGATGCCCGATCCACAAGTTCGCGGTAGCTCAGATGGAAAGCATTGACAGAGCGGAAGATAGTTGAATAGAACGTGAAGAATTCCCCAGGATGGCGGCCGGCAAAAAAATTGATTGAACGAGCGACTCGGTGAAAGTTGGGACAAGTCGAGAAGTTGGGTTCAGCCTTGACTTGCAGGCCAGCTCCGTCAGGTGCCAAGACTCAGGTTCCTCGGGTGGTTGCAATGGAATAGCCGGAAAGGTACAAGATCCATGGAGTGAATCGAACAAAACCGGAAGAGGTGTGGTAGATCTGAGGTGACAATGCGTGAATAGCCAGAAATAGGCGTTGTCACCATAGCATGACCGCGTTCGTCGAGGATACACCCAGAGAAGGCCACATCCGCTCCGGTTGCGACCGACCCGATCGATCCACCCAGTCTTCAGCGGAGCTGCAACACACAAGCCATGCAACAGCCGAGACGTATTTCCAACCATTCAGAAAGCGAGGCGCAGAAAGGGCCATGGACGAGTTGATGGTTGAGCGACCGTCCGAAACTCATCGTGAAATAGATCAGGGCGAGATAATCGTAAGGCGCAAAATGGTCGCTGACAGACCGTGCCGGACGGAAGTGGAAAGTCATTTTCGACGACCCGGATGCAGAGCAATCGGTGGACATGTTCACCCACAGCCGACTAATTCAACCAACGTCGCCTCCAGCGAATCGGTAATTCCATGCTTCTGAATGCATGAGAAGCGATGATGGACCCGAGACAGTGGTAGTCGATTTTTCCGTCGCAACCACACACAGCCAGGCACCGGAACAGGGAGGGAAGGGGAGAAAGGTGAAAAGAAACTGGGGAAAGGAAAAGAAAAAAAACAAATATGGCATACGAGTCGATGCGAAACTCAAAATAATAAGAGAACAGTGACAACTTACCAGGTAATGAAAAGCGAAGCGTTGAGTTGCGTTGCTTTGTGGATGGCGCAAATAGCAAGGATGCGTGGAAGACTCGGGCGTCAGAGAAATCAGGAACTGTAGAGAACTCAAGATAACTCCGGCGAGGTGGAGAAAAGATAATAAGAAATTCAAGAAAGAGAGAGGAAAAGGCACAAAGAAGAGTTACAGAAGAACTATCCGCAAACCAACTCCGTCTTTTCCGATAAGAACAAGGGAACGGTAGAAGGACTGGAAGGAGGGAGAGATATTATGGGGGGAGGGGAGGGAAGAGAGAAAGAGAAGAGAGAAGGAAGAAGAGAGGAAGAGCCGAGGAGGGGTAGAAGAAAGATTATTCTTCAGGATGGAGGGGAGGGAAAGGGAAGGGAAGGGAAGGAAAACGAGGGAAAGAATGGCTACTACTACGTACTACTGCTAGGGCAGACCAGGGACGGGAGAAAGCAGAAAATCGTTTAGACGAACAAACCAAAACCCAATAAGAAAAATGAATAATCAAGCACACAAGCACCCAAAGCACGCAGGAGCCAAAGCAGGTCTTGGGTTTGGTTTACTGGGGCCTACTTTTCTTGCTGCTTCCAGCTACTGCTTGCTTGGTGCTGCTGCTGCTGCTTAGTGCTGCTTCTGCTTGCTGCTTGGTGCTGCTACTACTACTGCTGCTGCTAAACTACTTACTGGGACTGTGAGGAGATGAGGGGCGGGCGCAGCAGCAAGAAGCGCTGCCAGCTGGGTGGGACGAAAGTTTGCCGACTCAGGAAAGGCTCTGACGGGGTTTTTCTTTTGGGTCGATTTTTCTTCCTTATTTTCTTTTTTTCCTTTTTCCTTTTTTCTTTTTGGTATTTTATTTAATTCTTTTTTATTCAAGTGAATTTTAATTTTATCACTACTTTTATTTCCACTTTTGTTTCCCCTCTGTTCCTTGATAACATTTTTCTTTACTTTCCTTTTCTTTCCTCTGAGTTAGTCAGTAACTAGCCAGCAGCAAGAAAACATGAATAAAAAAAAAAATAGAATAACATAGAAACAGATAAATAGAAAAATAGAAAAATAGAAAAAAACAATAGAGGACCGGGCCTTGTCGATCTGGATTTCATCCTGGTGGGAATCGTGTGGCCGTGGCGGGAAATAATGATGATACATACACAGATACATACATACATACACCCGCACCCACACCCACAGTCTGGAAAGTAAGTATCTATCTAGTATTGGTATTGTCTTGGTATCCAGCATTCAGGTTGGAATTGGATTGTTCTATCGGGTGTACGACCTTGCTGGATGTATGTTTTAGATCATGATCCAGATATCGACTGCAGAGTTCAACAAACGAATATTGCTAGAGTCTTATCTTGACTCTTTGTTTCTTTAGATGATCTCACCCATACAGTAGTTTTCTCACAGCCATACATAGCCATGTTTAATTATCCCTTCCCATTGAATCATTCATGATGAACCAAGTGACTGCTGTATATTAATGGATCTTGGTGGTAAGTTAGAAGCTACTTAAAAGTAGTACTTTACCTATAAAAGGTACGTACCTTCACCACCTACGGATACCTGCCTACCGTGCTTGCTGCGACAGACCCAATACAGAGAAGGTGTTAATCCCAGGGCCATGCAGTGGATACATCCACCGTCGACGGACCCAACCCAACCAAACAACCCTGCGACCAGATGACTGCTGCAGCCTGCGGGTTTGCAACCTGACATGGTCCTTATTTCCATCGCATGCAATAATTTTTGTACTATCCTCGAGTAGTTGAACAACCCTAGGCAATAATGTCTGCATTCTTTTCTTTTTTCTTCTTTCCTTTTGTTCTAATGTTTCTTTTTTATTTAGGTCATAGTTTCGCTCTTTCTCTTTATCAACTTGCTTTGCTTGATATTGCTGGTGAATGGAAGATGCCGATAACTTGGAAATCAGTGAAGCTTGAAAACCGCCGGGCTTTCTGTAAATGTACCCATGGCTTGGGGTTCTGTCTAAACCAGTGTATACATACCACAACTTGATCTATCTGCCCATAGTCTCGTTCCGATACGTCAACGAGGAACACGAGATTTGATAACGATCTCTCAAGAATCATGTAGGGAGGGCAGCATGTTGCTCATTATATTGACATTCTGAAAAGAAAACACCAACTCCCCGACATGGAGGGAAATTGAAGGGTCTTTATCCGCAAGCACACCATCTTAAGGTAAGGGGAGGGATCAAGTACACACAAAGTATGGAGTACAATAGTCCCCCCTTGAAAGGGTTGTACATATACTTAGTAATGATGGTGGGAATAAGTAACTAACTAATCAATTGATACATAGCAACCAGGAAACAAACTAACAAAGGGCGGGAAAAAAAAGAGAAGAGGCAAAAAAGTAGACGAAGGATCGTGATCGACGTGTACCTACCTTGAGGATTCATAAATATGGCCGAATGGCTGCACGAAATCTGCAAGGACCTGAGCGAATGCACATGCAGAGAGAGAGACCAGAAAGGTCGTGAGGCCTTTTCCCTGCGTGGTGTCGCGTTGTGACTCGTCGGGTTCCATTCGCGTCCCATGGGCCCTTATCGTCATAGGTCCTGTCCCGTTCTCCGCCCTGGCCCTGGTCGGGAGATGGGATGAGCCGAAACTCGACGGTCATTCATTCATTCATTCATTCATTCATTTACTTCGTAGATCGGTTGCCGTTTGCAGCCACACTCTCAGCCCTTTTTTCATTGTTCAGTCACCTTTTGGATCGACCATCTTTTTTTGCCCTACAGTACAGTACAGTTGAGCTGGGCGGCTGAATGGCAAGTAGATAGATGTTAGCTGAACTTTATGGATGAATGGGGAGAGGCGGGAGGGAGGATGGGGGCGCTGAAATGGCGGTCTTAATGGGATTACTTATTTTTTTTTTTTTTCTCTTCTCTTTTTTTCTAACAGGGGATTAAATTGGCCCGAAGAAACTCTCAACCACAATCAAGAACCAACCAGACCGACGACCCGGGTAAAACTGGCAGCGCCTGGACTTGTGGGAAAAGTTCAATGAAAGGAAAAATGGCCCCCACCCAATGCGCCCCAGACCCATGGATCGTGGAGCAAGCTAGCCTGCTACTTGTCTATGACGGAGGACTAATCGGGTACCCAGGAGACATTCGAGAAGCAAGAACGGTCCATGTGGAAAGTGGATGGTGCTATACTCTGAATAAGTTAAATTGTTGATTTTTTTCTTTTCTTTTACTCACTAGCACACTTGGAGAATTAATTGATCAAATTGCTGGGAGGTATATTACCTATTTACACACGTAGTCTGTGGTTCACGTTAATAATAGATAGATAGTGGCCGACGGGGAGAAGATGGTCAAAGCGAGCAAGACTAAAAGAAAATAAACGGAAATCGATCAACTGATTGACTTCCAAACTAACTAAATACAATATGTAACTAAATAGATACTAGAGACAAGTATGCTTGCTGCCAGATTGACTTCTAGTGAGAGAAAGTGAAAAAGGCAATCAACAACATTTCATTCCAATTGAGGTCATAGCCCAGGAAATTCCGCACGCACACACACACATACACAAGGTTTGTTGTGGGTGTGGATTAGCTGCGATTATATAAAAAGAAAAATGGATGAGCCCAGCAGTAAGTAGTAAAAAAGGGCGACCATTCATTCCATGTGAGGGCGACTCCACTGGGGGCAGCTCGAACCATGGAAATGAGGTCCATGTGGTGCCCATTGGTCAGGATCCGGGCACCGGCGGCTCGTATGGTAATTTTGGGCCACCGCAGCCTGTCATTGACATTACAGGTTTACAACCAGTACCGTCTGCGCCTAATCGGGCAAGTCAGATTGCGGGTTCTGGAATCCCACGAGTTGATTTTATTTTTTTTTCGTTTGGTTTTTCTGAGACAGAATTCCTTCAGCCTCGTGAAGGGCCAAGGGGGGCGCTGGCTGGCTGATTCATGGTTTTTTCCCATCGTTCCAGATTTTAGCTAGTTTGTTTCAATTCACAATGGGGACATGTGGTGGTATTATTCTCATGTCTATGATCTAAACTCTAGTGCTTGTCTGTATTGATTTAGTATTTACATTAGCACTTACTTAGTATAAGTTCTAACTCTCAGCTTTGCCTCGACGCGCACGCGACGCGACCGACCGACCGACTGACTTGACTGCACTGCAGGATCCCGTGTGGGAATCAATAACTTTACCTACTTGGGTGTTGGGAAGAACCAGTCAACGCAACTTCAAGTGGCAAGAAATACGAGCGTCATCAATTTTGGGAAAAGGAAGGGAATTGAATTAATTAGCTCCAATAAGTCTTGGGAACGATCATCATCATCAACATCATCATCATCATCATGATTATCCCATGGAAAAGGTCATTGGCATGAGCAAGGGAGCTGAGCTCTCTATCTATGGATTTTCATTCCCTTGATTCCATGTGTATCGTGAGCAATTTCCGAAAGATGGGGAAGGGAGGGAGGGAGGGAGGGAGGGAGATAAAGAGATCGATCTACTATTGATGAAAAGTCATAATAACTACGGATTATTCTACCAGGAATAAGGCTGCCTAGTGTTACCCTTTCCTAGCTTGGGCCACCCTTACTTCCAACTACACGGAAAAGAAAAGTCGATGATGATTATATCAATACGTATACACCACCAGAATCAACACTTTCATTATCAGTAACATATTTGCCCATGCAGGTATATCATTTTAAGATACCACATATGCACATACATGAGAAAGCAAGTAGTAGGGTCGGGGTTGGGGTTGGTTACACTATCATGCCGCTTGCTTGTTAAGCAGCCCCGTCCGTCCCTTGCAGATTTCCGCCCTCCTTCTCTCCTTGCCTTTGCACCTGGCCGTTATCGATGCAAACATCCCACCCACCACCAACCTAACCCTTTCTTTGCTTCTCGGCTGGAGAAACCCTCAACCAGGGATTCCTCCTATAAGTACCTTGGGCTGGAAATCTGATACAAGACAGGGCCTTTGTTGTATTCTTTTGTCACTGAAATGGAGTGATCCATATATTGAACCATGGATGTCCCATATCCCCGATACCAGACATGTCCCAGGGAAGGGGAAGTTTCTAGCTGTGTTTCATATAGGGTGAAACCGGGCTGAAGCTGAATATTCTCATAGGGTAATGTATATCAGTTTTTCCAACGCTCTACTAACAAACTAAGAATCTCTTCTACTGTGTTGTGCAGTGTACAAGTACAAGTTCGTACGAACCGTTCAACGATCACCTCTCAACGACCCACTCATTTCCACTCCTACAGCTGAGGTAGGGTGGGTGATTGTCTGGATCTCTCACCTGTTCAGCAAGCAATATCCCCACTCACTCACTCACAGCGATCCGGTCCCTCCGAACAGCTACGCGGTCAAAGCCTCTTTCTTGGTTCGTGTTAGCTTCTGTTGTTAGGGACGCGGATGCGGCACATTTGCTCTGCTGGAGCAGGGCTTATTATTATTAATATGGCCTTTTGTCGGGCCGGAAATCGGGACAAAGTCACTGAAGTCTAGACTATTACTGTTGCCTCTGGCATGGTGTAGTATATTGTGGTAGTTAGAGAGGAGTGTTGAACCAGGTGATAGCGACTGTAGCGAATGATAGAACCAAACAAAGTATGACTCCAACCACTTGTCATGCACCCTTAATATCAGATATAAAATCAACAACCCAAGTGTCCTCATTGTCCTCAACGCCATATCCACCCGATACACATAACACCACATCCCATCAAACCAACCAAAAGTACTCCGTACAGAAGCTAGATATCAATCATCATCATCCTCCTCCTCCAACTCCACCACAAAATCCCCCGTATCACAAACCGCTCCATCCCCAGCGGCCAAATCCTCATCACAAAACTCACCCACATTCCCCAACTCATCGCCCAACAATTGAATCGTCCTCTCATAAACCTTCGCCGTCTCCATCTCCCACTTCCCAGGAACAGGCATATAATCCTCCAATTTATTCGCATCCCCATAGACATCCTCGAACTCTTCATCCTCATCCTCATCATAATCATCCTCCTCTGCCCCATTAGCATCCTCAATCTCCTTCTCTCTCTTCTCAACAACCAACACCCGACACGACTCCGCAATACTCTTAATCCGCACCTTCTCCGTCATAGACACCACACTCTTTTTCTCCCCGTTACCACTACTACCACCACCTAAAAGCTCCGCAAACACCTCATCCAACTTCCGCAGTAAGCGAAACGTAGGCGCCGCTGAGAAGGGATACTCGGGCAGGTAAGAGTTGACTTGAATGGCTAGGGAGATGAGGTAGGGGATTTGGAGGGATGCTATTGTTCCATATTTCATATTAGCATTCGCACATTCTCTCGAACAACCACACCAATCCCCTCCGGGAATCTAAAGTAAAAGAATGGGGAATACTCACGCGTCCCACTAACCCAAAGCACATCCACCAAACCCTCCAAATCCCTTGCTACTTCCTTGAAGCTTTCGTAGCCCTGCACCTCTCCTTCTCCCCCATCATTCCCTTCCCTGCCCTCCCCGCGAGCTGAGAACGACTCCGGGGAATAACCCGTCGCATTAGAGTTGAATCCATCATCATCATCATTAGGCTTATAATAAGCACTACTGAATTTCTTTGCGTGCCGGCGCGAAATCCTCAGTAACGTCGTATCAATGTGGTTAATCACCGTTGCTTCTTTGGCGGACCCTGCGCGCAGAGGATGCGTTCGCGGTTTGGGGAGGAGGGAGGGCGTGCTTGGTCGTGGGGTGGAGGGGGCGGGGGAGGGCAGGGTTGGGGGGAGGAAACCTCCTGAGGTTTCTCCTGTGATTCCTCCGGTGGAGGTCATTGCTTTTGTTTGTGTGGTGAGGGGTGAGGGGTGAGGTTGAGGTTGAGGTTTTTTGGAGTTGCGATGGTTAAGAATGGTGGGGTGATGGTGGTGGTGTGGGGTAGGAGATTGCGTGCAGGTACGAGATAGATAGTCTTCTGAGTTCGATATGCTGCTGCTGATGCTAGAGGTTATGGGTATGCATGTTGTTGGTTTTCTGGGTGGGCTGATCTGATCTGATGCTCTTTGGTTGCTTCTGGATTGTTCGTCCGATGCGATGCGATGCGATGCGATGCGCCGACGATGTCATCGCCAAGCCGGGTTGGTCTGTGCGTTGCTATATTGAATTGTCGACGACTGATACAGTAGAGAATCTACAGATTACAACTATATGTGTAGAATAGGTTATGGACATCAAATAATCATGTTATATATTTAGTCTACAAGAAGCGAACATATGCCTAAACCAGAAGCAAGTCAGCAATGCATCCAGAACTCATCTAGATAAGCAAAATGACGAAGAAAGAATTGCTTCAGTAGGTGAGAAGATTGGATTATGCTGGTTTTTGTAGACATAGCATGACATCAAGCAACAGCTGAGTCTTTCTACTCTGGCCCCAGCGGATTCATCATATGCAGTGTAAACCATATAAAATTAGAAAAATGTCAAACTCACATCATCCGGCATCCCTCCAAGCCAATTCTCTATCGAATAAAGCACTTTTGGACGAACCCCCCAAACGCCATGCTAAACCGACCCAACAATGCCAAACAGGACGAAAGAACAAGATCACTCAGGCTGAGACACCGTTAGCACCTACACATACCATATCCAAAGAGGGAGTAAACTTACTGCAATCTTCCCCTTCCGCTTCTTCATATCCGCCAACTTCCTCCTATCATCATCAAACTTCTTAAGCAGCTGGTTCTGCTTCTCCTTTCTCTTCTCACGCGACTGGAACCGATAGAAGTCCTCCAATCCCTTAGACTTCTCCTTCTGCTTCTCAACCAACTGCCTAGCCTCATCCTCATGAGCCGCCTCCGCCAACTTCGGCCCAGACGTGACAGTAATAAATCCATCCTCGTCGGGTTCCTGCGCCCTGCGCGCCTCCTCCCTCTTTCTGACCTCCGCGACCTGCGTAAACACCGTCATGTAATCATTGACGGTGCGCAACAACTCCGCCCGATCCGGATACCTCAACTGCTCGTGGGTCATGTACCTCTGCAATCCCAGGGCAGGTACCCGATCACCCTCAACACCCTCGCCCCAGACAATATCCGTACCCTTCTTCGCGGCCTTGCGCGCCGCTTTCAGACTCGCCTCCATGCTGGGCTTGTCGGCGAAGACGACGATCGCGTGCGACCCGCTCTTCTGGAGCTGGCGGTCCCAGGTAGCGGGGAGGTCGACATCGTCCAGCTGTGCTTGGAGCTCGTCGGCGGTGACGCGCTTGCGTTTCTTGCTGCTGGCGATGTTGCCTTGCGGGGTGGCTTGCATGCCCTTCTTCTTGGTCGGGACGGCTTCAAATTCCACGCGCTCTATGCGGCCGGCGGAGAGCTGGGTGCCGAAGAGATGGCGCAGGTGAGTTTCGGTCGTGTCGACGGGGATATTCACGATGAACATGGAGCGCGGGGTGTCGGCATCTGGGATGCGAGGCTCGTGGGCGCGGAGGTAGAGGTAGTGTGTTGCTGGTTTGGGATATGCTGGGGTTGCGGGGAAGTGTAGGGGCAGGATTGAAAATCCTGCGATCTCGAGATCTGCCTTCATTTTGTCTGGTACCCTCGGAGGTATTTGGTTTTAGGTGAGGAGAGAAGGTGAACAAGTGATCAGACTGGTAGGGGTTGCGGAAATTGTAGCGCCGCAAATTAGTTGGCGGAGAGACTTTTTTTACTTTAGCGGGAAATTTTGCAACGGCAGTTTGGAAGGCGGAGAGAGCTGCTTGCGTTACCCGATGTATAATTTGGACAGTACTTAGCCTCAAATACACAATCAAATTGTTGCTGGCATTGTACTACATTGATGTTGCAGATAGATCGATTCAGCAGAAATAAGGATAATGTTCATTTCTAGCAATGCGCCACATGGCCGTTGCCCAGTTCTTTCCATGCTCCGTCTCGAACCATATGTTTATCGGAACTACACCTTATCAGGATCGTTGATCCCACCATTAGTGATGACATACGTCGCCTCTCTTTCAGGGCAGTCTGATGACAGTTAGAGCATTAACATGAGATGTGTACACTTGACAAACCTGGCGAGTCCTGGATCTTAGCCACTCGCTCCTCACCACGGCCCTTGCGGAGGAGCACTCGAGTCGCCGATGCATGTGCCAGGACATGACCTCCAACGGGCTTGCGACCATCGGCTCCAGCGAAGAGTGCACTAGCGCCAGGGTCACTCTGGACCTGGTTGGTCTGCATTGCATTAGAGTATATCTGTCTGCATATCAATGGGGAACGTACCATCAGAACACAGATGTTGAATTCTGCGAGCGGCAACGTCAGCCCTCTACTAGTAGCACTATATATATACCACGAGTCAAAAACATACCTTCAGCCATATGAGCCAGCTTCATCAAAAACTGATTCAACTTCTGCTGACGATCAGCAAGCTCTCCGCGTCCACAATAATCGACCCTGAAGCAATTCATGATGCTATCGATAATCAACAGCCTGTACTCCCCACCAGCGAACTCTTTACTGAGAGTATTCAACAACTCCAGCTGGTGCTCGCTGTTCAATGCTCGCGCATAAGCAATATTCTCCTGAGCAGCATCAGCATCAACACCAAACCGCTCCGCAATCTGAGCGATGCGCTCAGGTCTGAAAGTTCCCTCGGTATCAATATATGCCACCTTGCCGTCTGCGCCACCCAGTTCCTTGGGAAGCTGGGCTACGACGGACATGGTGTGGGATAACTGAGTCTTGCCGCATCGAAACTCGCCGAAGACCTCGCTGATGCTCATGCTTTGGAAGCCTCTAAGCAATTCCAACTTAGCCTCCCATCGTTACAGTAGTATATGGGTAAAAGGGGAGAACTTACCCTCCCAAGATCGAATCAAACTGTTTACTCCCAGTAGAAATCCGAACAATCCTCTTCCGCTGATGGCATAGTTCCATTGCCGTGATGAACCCCGAAGCCGAGGGCTGTATATATCGACAGTTCGTTAGCACCTCACCCTGGCACGAACAATAACCCCAGACAAGACCATCATCTGGGTGTATGTATACATACCAAGCTCTTCTGAATAGCATCCTTAATCTTCTCGACCTTGACCTCACTGAATCCCTTTATCTTCAATAGGTTCTTGCGGGTAGCACCGTGAACAGACTGAGCAGGTTAACAGCGAGGCTCTCTCCAAACTTCCAATAATAGACCGGTCAATCCATACAGCAACGGTGTAGTATCCATTCGTCTTCAGCTTCGTAATATCCGCTACTCCGATGCCTAGAACATACTATCAGTATACTGATGTGAAAGGAAGCGGATAGTGACAAGTATATATACCATGAGCTTGGATAGTATCGATATCAACGATGAAGACCTATCAATGACAGACACAATGTTAGTTCGATGTTGAGAGATAGATAGACCATGCCGCCAAAGTCATTGCTCATAGGGAATAAGAAGAATGGGGGTAAGAGGGGTGGCTACATCATCGTTGAACTCGTCGCTTGTGTCTGAGCCGGGCATGATTGTCTCTTAGTTGTAGTTGCAATTGAAATTGAGATTGGGAGACGTGGGGATTGGACAGATGATAGATAGATACAGAGATGATTGATTGTTAATTGCAGCTGCGAGCATGCAGTTGAGTATGGAGGCAGCTGATATGAGGAATAGACTAGCCCAGCGTCACGGGGTCTGCTCGTGGCAGAAGAGCAATGCTAAGCCCACCATACAATTGAGTGATGGCTATATTTCAATTCCCTACGACCAGATGCTGAACAGCATGGAAAGGCTACGTTTTCCACATCCAATCAATCTGTTGGCTGTACCCTGTAAGCTACTGATACGACAACATGAAGGCTTAATCCCACCCAGCTCTTAATACACTGCAATGGACCACTTTTGAATCTGAGATAATGCTTCTTTTTGCTTTTGTCTTTGTTTGTTTTGCTTCCCATTTGACGAATATCTGGAGGATATAGTACGAAAAGATGAGGAGGTAACCACCGCGCCAGGTACCTGTAGACCATTCACTATCTTCATCACACACAATCCCATCCGTATCAACTTGAAGCCTCTTCCCATGCATATCAACGCGCTTGCTTCGGTCCACCAATGTCTCTGCTGCGCTCACTTCACCTTTCACCTCGCCTGGCCTCGTCTCCCTCTTTTCTTTGCCGCACCTAAATTTTGGAAATGAGAAAGATACCCGAGGAGATCAATAGACGCCAACCATAAGACCCTGAGCCGTGTATAGGATCCAAGCAATAAAGGAACCTAAGACTTCGTGAAACTTTTGTTCGTCGTATACATAATAGGAATAGAAACCGGTCGGTGCCGAGAAGTGGAACAGGAGGGGCGCAATATATGCAAAGGAAGAAACCATGGGAATAATGAAAAAATGAGACCGATATCGGCAAACCCTATTACAAAAAAGAAAGAATGGAAAACAGACTCCCAGAAACTGGGATCAATCAGTCATTAAATTCGTCCTCTATGCGACAGCGGTAGTAGGAGCCGCAGCAGCAACGGGAGCAGCCTCCGCGCTGACCTCGGCAGCTGCGG